TAGTATACACTGCATGAATAAATGCAGATGATATACAAAATAATATATATTTATCATAATAGAAATATGATAACATATAAGTAAACAGGAAACTAAATTTCCTAATATAAGTATAGTACTTATGAAGGATAACTAAGTGAATAAACTATTGTGAATAGTTAACGACTCTCTGGCTTATGTTTGGTTAGAGAAGAGTAGCCGTCTCTTCTAATGTTAAGTCTAATTATTATTACCTAATAAATGTAATCAAGAAATCTCAGGATTGCGCCTTTCCAGGACTTGACGAAACGCTTTTCCCCTTTGCATTGAGATGTATGGGATCGTAGGAGTCATCTATCAAATTTGACCATTGATTTTTTATTGGGTGGTATGTGGGTGATGGAGGAAGAAAAGTCTATTGCCCTTATGAGATGAATATCATTTAACAATTTGAAATTGGTAGATAAAATTTTTTGAATTATATTGAATGCATTCTGAAACAGTATTGATCGAGGATTTGAAAGGATGCCATGAGCATTGAAATAGTTCTCCAATATAAAAGGCTTTTAATGAAGGATGTATATCTAAATATTGTTCAGTCAAAGTGATGAGATTTTCTGCAACAAAGGTAGATGATCTATGAACCAGATCAATTTCTCCTAGCTGTAAAATAGCCATATCTGGGTAGGGATTTTTATATTTTACATCATCTTGAAATTGTTTAATTGTATATACAATGGTGGTATTATAGTTAACTATGTCTTCCTTTAATTTAAAGTCAAATTGGTTAGATTCTTCTATTTTTCGAACAAAAATGTGGCCTATAACGTTGACCCTAATATCATTAGGCATCTCTAATAGTCATGTATAATGGGAGAAGAAAGGTAAGGATATTTTGACTCCTGTCTTATCCTCAGAGTAAAGTTTATTATGTGCAATAAGGTGTCTGAAATATAGAAGAAAGGAATAATATAGCTCTCTCAAGAGATAAATATATATCAAGTAATGAAATGATATCTGTACCTTCATGGTACTAATAATAATCACAAAAACAACCAGAAATCTCTGGAATGGGATAATAAATAGAATAGATATATTTATTTAATAGCCTACAAGGTTACTTACACTCGTAAATAAATGAAATATCTATCATTAGATTGGATGGAGTCTATTGAACGTAACTTGAGGACATGTATGTGACTTACTTCGTTCCAAAGCCTTCTCTATATTCCGGCTTTGAGTAGAAAGATTAGCTGCCTTAGTATTGTAAATATTGTAAATCAATGTGTCACACGCACAGTGAATACGGCATAATAATATGAAATATACCTTTATGTATAGATTTGAGAAACATCAGCACACATCTCCGTCTGAATCTATTGTTACATTTGATTTCTTTAAGCGAGAATAATTTCAAAGTTTCCTACATTATTCACGTCTGGAACCGGAAGCCATTTTTAAGCTAGGCCTACAGCGAGAAAATTTCACCATGTGTCAAACTCCGAAAAGAAATTTTGAAATATCTAAATCCAGACAAGCAACACTTCATCCTCAATATAATTAATATTCTTAAATATTTATAAAATTTATCAAAAATGATTTCTAGGTGCGTGTAGCAATTTATACATACGAAATACGAGTACATACGAAATCAATGAAGTTACATCTAGCTGTAAGGTAGAGACTCGAGTAATATGTGACGTGTCCATATTCATCACTAAATTAATTCTTTTGTATAAATTCAAGTTTTAAACCATATGTACGAGATGTCAATTGAATATTTCAAACATAAAACTACAAAGTCATAAAGACAAAAGATAAAACGTGTTTGAAATTTTTTGAACATCTTTAAACTGACGTTTTTTGTGTGAAATATTACGATAAAATTTTCACAAAACGATTAAGCGATAGATAAATGTATATACAAGAGATAAATGTCGATAAAAAGAATCGAAATGTATAACTTACATTGATGTTAATGGATTTTGTACGCAACTAGGGAGAAAACCCTCCAACTACAATCCTATCGAAATCTCGTCTGAAGTCTCATCTCGTACTCTCGAGATCTGAAGCTTGATGTTTCGTTCAGTGTAACTTACCAGAAACATTTACCTGGGATAACCGGGGAATGGTCTTCTCAGGGCTTGTTCATACCTAAACCTTAACCGACTCTCACATTGCCATAAATGAAATTATTGTCAATAATTTGAATATTTATGTGTGTACTACATACAATACAATTCCCTGGGAAACAAAACACAAATACGTTTTATATGTTCAAAATGAGCCATTTGATTGATGCAAACACTAAATAGCTTCATAAATAACATCTACAAAGTATATCTAATAGTAATTTTCAATTTCAATGTTGAAACTTCCCTGGTTAAGATTATATGGGAAATCATCACGAGACGAAGATCGTTCGCCTTCCTGGCTTACCTCTGAATCGTGTACCGGGCAATCTCTTTATATAGTTTAGCGAGAGCGGTGCGCCTGCGCAGTTTTAAACTTTGGCGCACACTTTAAGCAATACATTCAAGGCAGAATGGATTCTTGATTACAATGGCAATTTCAATATAGCCTCCTTTTTGAAACTAAAATTTTTGCTATACTTTCATATTGTGTATCTTCCACACTTAGGACCCTCTCTTATTTCATGTTTGAATTATAAAATAGTGTCAATACTAAACAATAAATGTAAATTCAGAGGGGGTCTGGTTTGTGGAAGTACCTCAATCTGTCAATGAATGGGGAAGGTCATTCACTGTTTACAACAAAAACACAATAGGGTGTCTTTCAATACAATAGGATTACTAACTATTTATGCATGAATGGCACATGAAATGAAGCTTAGTAGATTAGGACACATTGTAGTTCTTATATTGACTAGTAAAATTAAGTTTATCTACAAAACTCAAGATTTTAATCAAGGTTCTGTAAAAATATGTCAAAAGAGTCAACATGACACGTGCTAAGAATCCTGTTAAAAACACCTTTTTACCATAATTTCCACACTATTTTGTGATTTGTTGAAAATATACTTAATAAAGATTCAAATTGCATAGAAATAATTCTGGAATTCCATTTTACCCTTTTCAATAATTTTCTAAGTTCTTATAGGTACACTAATAGGTACGGATCCTTTCAAAAATTGAACATCATTTGGTGCATTCTGACCAATTCAAGAGTGAGAATAGGGGGAAAATTTCGAAAATTGAACATCATTTGGTGCATTCTGACCAATTCAGCGTATGCAATGAGTTATTGACAATCCATAACCATCTATTTTGATTTCCAGTTAAAATTCTGACTATTTAGGGGTACATGTTCATGAATAGGAAGGTGTCTAACCTTTTTTGTCATCACAATCCATGCAGGAAAACCACTTTTCAATTTTTCCTCAAATCTGTATACATGTTCTATGTGCACAAATTATGTATGGAATATATTGGATGTTAATTTATTTTCTGTTTATTACTGTATGTACTGCTTATTCAAATCATGAACAATGAACATATGTCATATGAATGACTGATCAAGATTTGCTTTTCATGATTCCTTTCACATTTTATTTAAGCATGCAACAATTTATATGTTATTTCGTTGCCATTTTATGCATTTTATACCCCAACCTTTTTAAGGTTATGATGAGCTTACAACTTTGTAAACAAAATCGAAAACTTGTTTTGTAAATCGTTGAGAGCCATTGCTATGTTTTATAAAAAAGAGAACATACAAACAGAAAAACAAAGTCAGTGACCTATGATTTTTATTTTCTTAAAATTAACTAATATACAGATTTTCAATTTGAATATACAGTACATCTGTAGAGTTTATAGTTAAGGTACTTTATCTATAGTATTAGACCATTAACTTACCATTTTTAGAATTTTCCAGCTTCAAGATTGGTTCTCTCTAACCCAGAACTATAAATAAAAAGTATTCACATTTAACTTCCCATAGTAATGTCACTTAAATGTTTCCCATATGATATTTAACTTTGGTTCACTTAAAATTGTCTCTAATGTCAGTATACATGTACTTGCAACTCCTTTTCAACTCACCTGAGAGTAGTTTTGATGGTCTTTTAAATAAAATCTATTTAGTGAAAGGCAAATTCATGTTTTTATATCTTTGCTCTTACATTTGAAAGGTGTGTAATAGTCAATACAATATATTTCTGGCCTAAACCCTATTTATTTAACAACATTGAAAATATGAAAATATGTAATATTTGGTATATGATAGCTATGATTGCTTTCAACTTCTGAGCATTATCTTAATTTCACAAAGTTGGAGACAGTGCAAATTAATATTTTGTCTGAAATCCAAGAAAAACATTATTCATTTTGTTAGATTATTATCTTCAAAATGTTTGCACCAGTTTTGGAATAAGAGTTCAAAAATAGCAATATGTCAAATTTTAAAGATACATTAAATGAGACAATTATCTTACAATAAATTGCACCAGTTTTTGGGACATAAGAGTTGAAAAATGACAAAATGTCAAATTTAAGAAATATTTAGGATTGATATTTGGTTGAGGCACAAGATCAAAAATGAAAAATGTTGAAGTAACAAAAATGTTCTTAAAACAATTGATATCACTGAGTTTACATTTTGGTTGGTAAAACAGAAATACATTTGTATGTTTATTGCAAAATTGAATCTAAAGTAATCAAAACATAAGCTATAGGGCTGTGTAAGCTAAACCATCATAAGATATTTGGCGATAGGTTTTCTTTAAGGGGCAATGCATTGCATGGTTATTTCTGAAATCATAGTTCATTTCTTGATCCATCAGAATCAAGTACCAATATTTGGATTAAGGTGTACTTGTTTTGTTTTATATTAAGTATAAATAATTAAAAATGTCCTAATCTTTAGGCATTAAAAAAGATCCTTAACTCAGCTAGACTGTGGAATTAAACTGTAGGTGGTATGCCAGCATCTGAACTATCTCATACATGTATTTAGTCATCTAAGTTTTTTATGTACATTTTTAGCATCTGTACTTTCAGCCCTAGAACAGATCCCCAATTCTGTAAGACTGTGGAAGTTGGCTGTAGAGCTAGAGGATCAGGAAGATGCTAGGATTATGTTGAGTCGTGCTGTGGAGTGTTGCCCCACAAGTGTAGAGGTAGGCTACAATTATCTACAATTTCTAAATGGCTGTACATGTATTTTGTTTATTAATTATTTATGTTTGTTTTTCAATGTCTGTTACAAGTAGGTCACCATGACCTGCATAGATTTATCAAAAATCATTTTCTAAATGATTACAATTTAAATTTTGAGCATTGTTTAAAAAAGTCAATCCTGTTTCTGAAAACATTGAAAGGGAAGATCATCCACAATCAAACTAAAAATAACTTTTACTCTTTCACCAGTTCAATATTTTGATTGACAGCTCTATTTTTGGAAGTGAAATTGATGTCCTGTGTTAAAACTCCAAGGTCAAGCTGATCTGGTCATTCTCTAAGACAATTAAGAAACAGATTTTTCATAGAAATTAATCAGTTCTATCTTTAAATTTCTCAATTAAAACATATTTATAGAAAAATTGACCTTTTAAACCATTCTTGTCTATCTAATATCAGTTTAAGTAAGAGGTTTTTATCATAATTATTTTTGTCTGAAAGGGAGATTTTGCAGTGTTTTGTAGGACTGTTTTGTCAAAGAAATTGTAAATAGAAAGCACAATTCCCCAATCTTCACAAGTTCAGGGTTTCATTTGAATTTTTTGTGTGGTGGAAAAATCAGTTATGCCAGATGAGGATGACATTGGTTCAATGTTTACGTCATAAAATGAGGCATTTTTGATAATTATCAGATCTCAAAATGACATAATATTACCGCTCCAAGGCTCTTTTACCTATTTTAATATTCTAGGTAGACAATTAAAAGTCTTTCCAAGCGAATACACACAAAATTAAACATGAATCCTTAATGTATTCCTCAGATTGATTTTTTAAAACCTACTTCAAACCTACATCTTAGTGTTCACTTCAAATCAGTTAATAGTGACACCATACATCTAAAGTGTACAACGGTATATTTTGTCAATGTACGTTGTTGATGGTTAGGCATGGTAGAAGAAATGTTCAACATGACAGCTCAATTCAAAATGAAATCTTTGATAAATTAAATACCAGTTGTCAGATTTAGTTCTTTTTTAAAATTTTGATTTGATGTTTATTTTGGAAACATTACCAAACATGGAAATATTCAACACGTTTAAAACATATTTTGTGTTAACTAAACATAATTTGTCAAAGTTAGATCCATTTAAGTTATAAACTCTGTGACTGATGTCTTTTATATTTGTAGTTATGGCTGGCTCTTGCAAGACTTGAGAATTATGAGAATGCACGTAAAGTGTTGAACAAAGCACGTGAGAGTATCCCTACTGATAGGCAGATCTGGATCTCTGCAGCTAAACTTGAAGAAGCAAACGGCAACATACATATGATTGAGAAAATTATAGACAGGGGTAAGTGGGGTTGCCCTTTCAGAATAAGAATATTGTATACAATGTCTGTATTCATGTGTATTGTAGATTCTGTATCTTTCATCTTTTCAACAACTCTGTATAGCAAATTATGGGCATTATGTTTATGATATTTTTATGAAAATGAAATGCGTTTTTACTCCAATAAATAATCTCTACCACCCAGGTTTAAGCATAAACATTTTAAACATATGTTTTTTCAGCTCTGGCATCCCTACGTGCAAACATGGTGGAGATTAATCGTGAACAGTGGATCAAAGATGCTGAAGATTGCGAGTCTGCTGGCAGTATACATACATGTCAAGTAATAGTGTGAGTATATATACGTCAAGTAATAATGTGAGTATACATACATGTAACGTTATAGTGTGAGTATACATACATGTCAAGTAATAGTGTGAGTATACATACATGTCAAGTAATAGTGTGAGTATACATACATGTCAAGTTATAGTGTGAGTATACATACATGTCAAGTAATAGTGTGAGTATACATACATGTCGAGTTATAGTGTGAGTTTACATACATGTCAAGTAATAGTGTTAGTATACATACATGTCAAGTAATAGTGTGAGTATACATACATGTCAAGTTATAGTGTGAGTATACATACATGTCAAGTAATAGTGTGAGTATACATACATGTCGAGTTATAGTGTGAGTTTACATACATGTCAAGTAATAGTGTTAGTATACATACATGTCAAGTAATAATGTGAGTTTACATACATGTCAAGTAATAGTGTTAGTACAGGGTGTTCCAAAAGTAACAGGACTGGTGCTGGCATTTTGTTAAATATGCACCAATCGTCTTCAAAATGTTACATAATGTACTTTCATGTATCATTACTAAAACTGCAAAGTTTCAACAAAAAATATGTAACTCGGGTAGAGATATGGTTGCTATGGTAACATGACATCACAATACCCGGGGCAGCATTCCACGCAGACAGTTACATTAAGACAGAAAGAGACATTTAAGCATTTTGTACATCCCATATCAAAGTTGAAATGCAACAACTGGTGGGAATTACATTTGTTTTACATCATTTGATATTTCCATGTATCCTATGTACTTAGGCTCCTCTTTTGGTCAGTAGAAAAATAGCACTCTGTATCCATGACTCAAACACATGAGTGAACCCATTTGAGGACATGTCAGGCACGGTTGATTGAACAACTTGGAGAAGGTCTTTCTCATCTTTAAAGATCTTACAGCACTGATTAGCATTCCATTCTCCATGTAAGTAAAAATTGAATGTTGCATGATCAGAAGAGTATGGTGCATGGTTTTAGAACTCAAGACCTAGCTCCTCTATACCTGCATGGTGTTTAATGGTGACCTGCGGGCAGGCACGTTATCAAGGTGGATGGGTCTTTTGGGTCTTTTCAAAAACTCAACCATGAATTGTTCAGACTGTAATTCATAGTGATATTCCAGGAAATTGAATAAATATTATTATTATTATGAAATTATACTTGAATCTGAGTTTTATAGCAACACCTTTACAACAAAGCAACTAATAAAATATACAAGAAATGTTGTATTATAATAGGTGAATTAGATACTTTCTTCGGTAACACAAAAATGTTAGATATCACATTTTCAGAAAAAAGTTGCCCTGGGTATTGTGATGTCATGTTACTATAGTAACCACAACTCTACCCGCATTTCATCATTTTTTCTGAAACTATAATATTTTAGTTGCAATACTTCAATGTACAATTTGTGAAAATTTGAAGACACTGGGTGCAAAATTGACAAAATGCCAGCACCAGTCCTGTTACTTTTGGAACACCCTGTATACATGTCAAGTAATAGTGTTAGTATACATACATGTCAAGTAATAGTGTGAGTATACATACATGTCAAGTTATAGTGTGAGTATACATACATGTCAAGTAATAGTGTGAGTATACATACATGTCGAGTTATAGTGTGAGTTTACATACATGTCAAGTAATAGTGTTAGTATACATGTCAAGTCATTGGATACATATAAATGACAACTAATATAAGTACATGACAAGTTATTGCTTAAACATTCAGAGTGATTCAGAAGTAACATCCAAAGGAGTTGCTGTTTCAATACTACTTGACTAATCATGTTTAAACTTGGTACAGATGTAATACATTAATGAGTAAAGATATCAAAAATAAACATCTGTACCAAGTTTCACAAAGATTGGTCCAGTAGTATTGCAATAGTAACATCACAATGGCAATTACACTTCTCCTGGCATGTAATTTCAGGCGTGCAGTGATAGGCGTTGGTGTGGAGGAGGAAGATAGGAAACATACCTGGATGGAGGATGCTGAGGCTGTAAGTAGAATAAAGTATACAATTATTGGTCTTTCTATAGGTTCATAATGAAACCCCTGTAGCTGAGACTGAGACTGTAGATCAAGGTTTACATTTAGGAGTGGATATAATTTGACAGCCAACTGAATAGAGATGTATTAAAAATAAACTGTTTATTGCTCTCTTATCTGACTAAAAGGAGATTTGCTATCAATGCCCAGGCTCTCACTGTTTCTTGTTTTCTTTATAGTCTGCCTCACATGGAGTGTATGAGTGTGCAAGAGCTATCTATGAGTGTGCAAGAGCTATCTATACCCAGGCACTCGCTATTACTTGTTTTCTTCATAGTCTGCCTCACACAGAGCGTATGAGTGTCAAGAGCTATCTATGCCCAGGCACTCACTGTTTCTTGTTTTCTTTATAGTCTGCCTCACATGGAGTGTATGAGTGTGCAAGAGCTATCTATGAGTGTGCAAGAGCTATCTATGAGTGTGCAAGAGCTATCTATACCCAGGCACTCGCTATGCTATTACTTGTTTTCTTTATAGTCTGCATCACATGGGGGGTAGGAGTGTGCAAGAGCTATCTATGCCCAGGCACTCACTATTTCTTGTTTTCTTTATAGTCTGCATCACATTGGGCGTATGAGTGTGCAAGAGCTATCTATGCCCAGGCACTCACTATGAGTGTGCAAGAGCTATCTATGCCCAGGCACTCACTGTTTCTTGTTTTTCTTTATAGTCTGCATCACATGGAGTGTATGAGTGTGCAAGAGCTATCTATGAGTGTGCAAGAGCTATCTATACCCAGGCACTCGCTATTACTTGTTTTCTTTATAGTCTGCATCACATGGGGGGTATGAGTGTGCAAGAGCTATCTATGCCCAGGCACTCACTATTTCTTGTTTTCTTTATAGTCTGCATCACATTGGGCGTATGAGTGTGCAAGAGCTATCTATGCCCAGGCACTCACTATTTCTTGTTTTCTTTATAGTCTGCATCACATGGGGCGTATGAGTGTGCAAGAGCTATCTATGCCCAGGCACTCACTATTTCTTGTTTTCTTTATAGTCTGCATCACATGGAGCGTATGAGTGTGCAAGAGCTATCTATGCCCAGGCACTCACTATTTCTTGTTTTCTTTATAGTCTGCATCACATGGAGCGTATGAGTGTGCAAAAGCTATCTATGCCCAGGCACTCACTATTTCTTGTTTTCTTTATAGTCTGCCTAACATGGAGCGTATGAGTGTGCAAAAGCTATCTATGCCCAGGCATTCACTATTTCTTGTTTTCTTTATAGTCTGCATCACATGGAGCGTATGAGTGTGCAAGAGCTATCTATGCCCAGGCACTCACTATTTCTTGTTTTCTTTATAGTCTGCATCACATGGAGCGAATGAGTGTGCAAGAGCTATCTATGCCCAGGCACTCACTATTTCTTGTTTTTCTTTATAGTCTGCATCACATGGGGCGTATGAGTGTGCAAGAGCTATCTATGCCCAGGCACTCACTATTTCTTGTTTTCTTTATAGTCTGCGTCACATGGAGCGAATGAGTGTGCAAGAGCTATCTATGCCCAGGCACTCACTATTTCTTGCTTTCTTTATAGTCTGCATCACATGGAGCGTATGAGTGTGCAAGAGCTATCTATGCCCAGGCACTCACTATTTCTTGTTTTCTTTATAGTCTGCATCACATGGAGCGTATGAGTGTGCAAGAGCTATCTATGCCCAGGCACTCACTATTTCTTGTTTTCTTTATAGTCTGCATCACATGGGGCGTATGAGTGTGCAAGAGCTATCTATGCCCAGGCACTCACTATTTCTTGTTTTCTTTATAGTCTGCATCACATGGAGCGAATGAGTGTGCAAGAGCTATCTATGCCCAGGCACTCACTATTTCTTGCTTTCTTTATAGTCTGCATCACATGGAGCGTATGAGTGTGCAAGAGCTATCTATGCCCAGGCACTTACTATTTCTTGTTTTCTTTATAGTCTGCATCACATGGAGCGTATGAGTGTGCAAGAGCTATCTATGCCCAGGCATTCACTATTTCTTGTTTTCTTTATAGTCTGCATCACATGGAGCGTATGAGTGTGCAAGAGCTATCTATGCCCAGGCACTCACTATTACTTGTTTTCTTTATAGTCTGCATCACATGGAGCGTATGAGTGTGCAAGAGCTATCTATGCCCAGGCACTTATTATTTCTTGTTTTCTTTATAGTCTGCATCACATGGAGCGTATGAGTGTGCAAGAGCTATCTATGCCCAGGCACTCACTATTACTTGTTTTCTTTATAGTCTGCATCACATGGAGCGTATGAGTGTGCAAGAGCTATCTATGCCCAGGCACTTATTATTTCTTGTTTTCTTTATAGTCTGCATCACATGGAGCGTATGAGTGTGCAAGAGCTATCTATGCCCAGGCACTAACTGTGTTTGCCAGCAAGAAGAGTATTTGGTTGAGGGCTGCATACTTTGAGAAGAACCATGGATCAAGGTAATGTAATAAGTGAACAGGGATATTAAAAGGTTTAGCATTAATATTATAGGAAACCAATAACCATTACTATGTTTTTCCCCTATTTTCTTAAATAAAATATGCTAAAATAAAATTTGTGTAAAACTTTAAAGCTCTCATGTTATGTTCTGCACCCATCTCATCCCAAGATTTGGTCAGGGGAAATAAAGTGGAGGGAAATACAGATGAGAGGCTTGATGATACAGGTGTAAGGTTGATGATATACATGTAAGTACATGATACATGTTACTTCCAGGGAATCTCTAGAGGCATTACTACAGAGGGCAGTTGCCCATTGCCCCAAGGCAGAAATGCTTTGGCTAATGGGAGCCAAGTCAAAGTGGCTAGCGGTAGGTTATTTTTCATTTTACGTATACATGTAGAAAGTAGCATTACTCAGATCAATATATATATCTCCAAAAATGCATCATGTTGCACATTTGTCTGATAACTTTCAATGAATAAAGTTGTGTATATCTTTTTGGAATTTCTTTACCCCTGTCATCTTACAAGGTTTGTAGGTAGAAATACAGTACAGTGTATACTGAATTCAAAAAAGAGTTTTTTAAGAAACCAAACAGTTCCGAAATGGTCTCTTGAAAAATGAAAATATTTATTTTCCTTCTATGTTTTTTCATGTTTTCCACTACTTTGCTATTTCACAGGGAGATGTGCCAGCTGCAAGAAGTATCCTGGCTTTAGCCTTCCAGGCCAATCCTAACAGTGAGGAGATTTGGCTGGCTGCTGTTAAGCTTGAGAGTGAAAACAATGAGTTTGAGAGAGCCAGGAGATTGCTACAGAAAGCCAGGACTAGTGCCCCAACAGCCAGAGTTAGTATTGCTTTTATTATCATTATTATGTGCCCATTACTATGCTTAAAAATGTGGTTATATCAGTACATGTAGGAGTTATATCTCGAAAGTATTTTAGATTAACATTATACAGGGTGACCCAAAAAAAATGCAACCCTCCATTTCTTCAATATTTTTCTTAAATGGAGGTAAATTGCTCTGAGATTTGGCACACAAGGACTTCATTCAATGTGGGATCCTCTGGCAAAGTTTCAATAATCATAGTCTTATATTGATAGAGTTATGGCCGTTCCAAAATATGCTCCAAATATCGTCCATTTCCAATGTTAGGTTTTCGGATGAATCACATTCCCTTCTTTCTGAACATGTAAACTCAAGAAATAATGTGTTCTGGGATCACAAATTCCAGATGAAGTGCTTCAAAGGCCCCTTCATTCTGTTTAATGCACAGCTCGGGCTGCCAATTTCCAAACATGAAATCATCAGCCCCTTTTGGTTTGAGGTTGATAATGGCTACACTGTTACTGTTAACACACAGCGCAATATTGGCGTTCCCAGGAAGTTCTAGGCAGTTCTAGAGTGACATAGAGGCTTCAATAGACAAGAACAGTGGTTCTAGAAGGATGGAGCTATTCTTCACACTTCTAATGATAGCATAACCTCGCTCACTAGTCATTTTTATGAGAAGATTATCTCTCCTAGGACGAAGAACCCATGGTAATCCCACAGTCTTGATCTCAATGCCCTTGACTTCTATATATGCGGTTATTTAAAGGATAATGTGTATGAAAATAACCCTACCGCAATTGCAGAGCTCCAACAAGTAATGGCTGCAAAAATTTGAGCCAAAACCATGGGGAAAATGCATCTGTGTTATGAACAGTTTTCCTTGAAAATTGCAAGTTTGTTTTCAGCGAAATTGACGACATCTGGAGCATATTTTGAAACAATGATTTCTCTATCAATATAAAACTATGATTATTCAAACTTTACCAGAGGATCCCACATTGAATGAAGTTCTTGTGTGCCAAATCTCAGAGCAATTTACCTCCATTTAAGAAAAATATTGAAGAAATGGAGGGTTGCATTTTTTTTGGGTCACCCTGTATATATTTCATAACTGTCAAAACTTATCAATATGTGGTTACATGATTTTAGATTTTTATGGGGTTCAAAGTGTTATATAAAGTCTGGGTTTTGAAGGATTTTTTGACGATTAAATGTGTCCTCAGACATAAGAGATTTTAGTGAATCCTTTATGTTTGAACACAAATTGTTAACCCTTGGTTGGGTCGAGTTATCAGTGTGATTGTTATTTGTTATACTTTCACGTATACTATGATGTGTCTCATTGTGTCTTATACTATGATGTGTCTCATTGTCTAGGTGTTCATGAAGTCTGTTAAGCTGGAATGGTGTCTTGGTGACATGAAGACGGCTGAGGATTTACTAGATGATGCACTTAACCAGTACCCTGATTTTGCCAAAGTAAGTTACTTATAACGGATCTGCTTGCCTTGCCACCACTACATTCACAGTCCATCCCTATAGATGGAAGGACACTTAACCTATGATGCCTTGGCCTAAAGTTTAATCCCCAGTTCAGAAAATACCAATTACATTATTGCATTTTGTCCTTGTTTGTCACTTTGTCAATAATATGGTGTTTAACGGTATAAAAGAATGAGGGCTTCTTCAAGATTATCACGATTCATTATTATATATTTGAATTATTAATTATGGCCCCTGTGTTTGTATATTCTAGAAATTCAATGAAGCAGCACTTTATCTAATTGTCTTGCAACGTACAATTTTAAAAATGTTATCATACTCTCTATTGTTACAGTTGTGGATGATGAGAGGTCAAATTGCTGAAGAGGAGGATGAGCTTGATAAAGCCAGGGAGGTCTATAATATGGGTAGGTCAACAATTTTGGTAAAGCCATAGGTCAACAATCTTGAATTTTGCGTAAGTCAGAGAGGTTTTTATTTTGATGGGTAATTTTGGAAACCAAGAATTACCCAAAACATGAGTAAACAGGCACAAAGTCTAAAGGTGCATATTGTCCAAAGGTACATTTATTCCAAAGGTGATTTATTCAAAACAACCAGATGTGGTCCTTTATTACCCATTGCTACCCATATCAGTTAAGCACCTACGTGTAAATAACCATATGTTTCAAGTAACAATAAAAAACCATTAAACCACATGCATGATAAGTTAGTTCAATATTCAAATATTGCTAAATAGTATTTTCTTCATGTAGGTCTGAAGAAATGTCCCAGAGCAATCCCCCTGTGGATCCTACTGTCCAGACTAGAGGAAAGGTCTGGTTACCTCACAAAAGCTAGGTCTATCCTAGAAAAAGCAAGACTGAAAAATAATGCATGTCCTGAACTTTGGTGAGTTCAAATAATATATACTTCATCTGCACATAGTATTCTCTGTAATAGTTTACCATTGTGAATGCAAAACTTAATTGATTAATTGATGCAATACAAATATTGAAGATCGTTGAAACATATGTTGTAAAGTGAAACATTGTTTCTCATAGGCAAGATTCATTTCATAATTGGGCAATTTTTAAGCTTTCAGTAGCATGCTTATTTTCCTCATGTGTAATGTCATAACTTGTTGCACTTTCAGGCTTGAATCTGTACGGGTAGAAAACAGAGGTGGTTTGAAAAATATAGCACAAGGATTGATGGCCAGAGGTATAAGTTGTTTAGTTATGACTTCTCTATTAATCATATATCACATTGGTGGAATAAGCAATGTTTTCTACATAACAATCTTAATGTATGACACTATACTTTTACATATGTAAATCATTCTACTTTTGACATTTGAACTGTCATTATTGATTCTTAATCATAGTCTTACATGTATGGAATTTAAATCTGTGTTTAATTGTATTTTATTTATATTATATTAAATACTAAATCACTGTTTCACCAACCTGTATTTTAGCCATGCAAGAGTGTCCCAACTCTGGTATACTTTGGGCTGAGGCAATATTCTTGGAGGCTCGACCTCAGAGAAAAACTAAATCTGTGGATGCCTTGAAGCGATGTGAGCATGATGCACATGTTCTGCTAGCAGTATCAAAGTAAGACTCACAAAAATGAAAAAATGCCTGTTAGTTGTGTACTACACTTTTCATATAAAGACCATGCTTGAAATTATAGCATGTACAAATTGTACATAACTACATATAAGAGTAACTCACTGGAGTAAACAAGTACCTTGATGGCATTATCTGATATAGAAATTTGTTTTCATTCAATCCTTAGAGAACTCTATACACATACACCCTCTGATCTGGTTTGAGAAATATACAATTTGGGATGGACCAAAGATATTTAAACTGTATGTAAATGTGTTTTATTTGAACATTTCAAGATTGTTTTGGTCAGAGAGGAAGCTAGGGAAGGCTAGGGACTGGTTGACTAGGACAGTGAAGATAGACCCTGACCACGGGGATGCCTGGGCAAACTTCTACAAATATGAGCTTCTACATGGAACAGAGGTATAGTATATTTACATGACACTTTGTACATACTATGTTTCAATCATTTATTTTTGAACATTTAAATGCATTTTCACTGAAATGCAGAAAGATACCATTTGATGAATTTGGTTCAAATTTTATATGCTGTAATGCCTTAGTGACAAAGGAGCCCTGCTCAAGAAGATATTTTTATGACAGCCACTGAATTTCAAACTAGTCACCATTTTGCATAAAAAAACGTAATCTTTGATAACTCAATACTTGTTGACAGATTTGGTTCAAATTTTTTTTCTCGATAGTTGCTATTCATCCAAAACATGTTTTTTTTTCGGTGGGATTTGCTAATGTAGGAATATTAATAAATATGACTCATTCTTTCAGGAGCAACAAGAGGCAATTAAGAAAAGATGTATCAATGCAGAGCCTAAACATGGAGAACTTTGGTGTAAAACTTCAAAAGTAATATCTAATTGGAGACTTAAGTGTGAAGAAATACTACCATTAGTTGCAAATGCACTTTCAGTGCCTACTTAAAATCATGAGACATAGCCAAATATGGTACAGTAAATAACTATGATACATCACAAAATGGATTTGATAAGCTTGTCATGTTGATCCTATCAACAATGTGCTGGGGATATTATATGACAGGCATTTTGAAATTGGCAATCATTTTAACAAGAAGCATAACATTATCAATTTGCCATAATGGTGTCAGTTTTCATGTTTCGCCAGAACTTGCAAAGTTATGAAGCAATTTTGTTGATTTTTGAATGTGTAAATACTAGTGGTGCAGAAAATAGTCGTAGAGTTGCATTATCGACACATTGACCAATTTTATTGTTCATTTACGCAATATGAGATTTCGGATTGATTATTGTTAAAGCTGAAGTTGGTATATATCAAAGTGTCTCCAATAATTGTGTCGACTCCAGGATCCATAATCGCAACTTGCTATAGTCCGTTTTAAGTCACTATAGCGAGTCTTACGTATTACAACGAATTTTAGATGTTCGCCGAGGAAAAAAACATGTTGTAAGAGTAATGCTAATTAAAGAGAAATAGAGCTGTTTATTGGAAGAATATAGCAACAAAATGATCTACTAATCCACAGTAATCTAGATCTTTGTGTTCATTAAGGCATCAATAGCAATAGACTGTTTTGGAAGTGAATTCTTGAATTTTCTTCAATAATTTAAGTAGAGTAAAGACACCAAAAGACATGTTTTTTCGTTGACTCCTGGCTCCATTCTTCATATTCGTGTCAACTCGAGTTTTGTTCGCGAATTGCACTAATAGTAAATACATGACACATTATCCTTTCACAATTTGCTCAATATCATCTCACATTTTTTGTGCTCAAATTAAATTTTGAACAATATGGCAACTCAAATTAAATTTTGAACAATATGGCAACTCAAATTAAATTTTGAACAATATGGCAACTCAAATTACATTTTGAACAATATGGCAATAAAAAGTAATGGACTGATTCAGAAGTTTTTATTCCTATACCAGTTCTTCAAAATGGCTTCTTTAGAGTGAAGGATGTAAAAATCATGCAAGGATTGACTTCATGATGGATAAGTTCACTCTTGGTTCATCACTAGTACAATAGAACAGAACATAAAACAATAAATAGTTTCTATACATAACTTTTCTCCTTTATTTATCATACAATAAATTAATCTGGGTAGACCTACTCAGATAGGCTACTTGGTTCACATGTTAAAACTCTGCTTAAGGCTCTACAATTTTTCTTTCAGTAACATACATTAAAAATAAATGAAATATTTTGACCAGATCAATTTTTCCATTTTGGCAATTTTCTTATTGTTTGGACTACAGATACTGTACATTGCATATTTATATTGAAACAAATGCCAATAAAACTATATCATTACAAAAACAGCTTGGCTTTTTGTTGAATCTAAATAGAAAGACGACTTGAAGTGTCAAAATTTACTATTGCCCATCAGAAAATAATCATCAATACAAATCAATATTTCATCCTATAAAGATCTGTATCCAAGATTGACAAACTTCATTTTGAAAAATTTGTTTTAAATTTCTCATATTTTCCACATTTCAGAAATCAATAGCAATCAACCGATTTTTATAATCAGATTTTGTATTTTTGAGGGAATTATCTTACTTTTATCTAGTTTAGAATATTAGAGGAGTTTGCATCTTGGATACATTGCTCTAGATTAAAGGTCAATATCTCAGTTGATTATTTTGTTCAGATCTTGTACACAACTTTGAATATTAACAATGTGCTTTAGCTCTCACAGCAGACATTTAAATGCACAACATAACAACGCATTATTTCAAGCTAAAAATAAAGACGAATCATATTTTGTATATACTGAACATTTAACAATTTAGTGCATCGGGTTCAACTTCTATAATTTATATACTTGTAGCTGTTAGTATACCTACCCTACAACAACATATTCTCAGGCCACTTAAAACAGTCTAGTTCACCAAAACAACTATTTTTGGTGTTACATGAGTCTAATTAAATGAGTTTTACAATAGGGGCAAGATGACTGAATGCAAATTCAACCAGTCTTCATTACTTTAGTTTTTTTTCTATACATCGTGCTTCTTTATTTATTTTCAAGAGTTCCTACCACATCGGGAAATTATTCATACTGCATAATTGTGACTAAATTGTCGTGACAAATATTATGATAATGGAAGTCTTGCATAAAACAAATGCCATGAAATATAAGCTGCAATGTAGGATCAACTTCATTTCCCAATGTACAAATCCCCTGATTTCAAGTTGAAAATATTACTTGTAGATTCTTGCCCAAAAACTATTCTAAAATGCCTTGTTTTGTGGAATAACGAAAAGGATGACATATGGGTTGATTGGTGTCAACCCAGTCGCAGAAGATCTGAACCACCTGCTTTTTAGTACAGGGTGTCAAATAAGTCCCGTCCCCCCCTCTACAGCCAAAACCAAGATATTTGGTACCAAGTGTGATATATCATTGGAATGGTCTTCCAAAGTTACGTTGATTGGCATATATCTGACACATGTCAATCAATCTCAGAAATTTTTACATTGTATCAATTGAGGTGACCATATGCCTAGAAACATGGCAATTTGGCGTATTTGGCACGATTTTAAGTATCGTGTATAAGAAAGGTCACGGGACCAAAATATGACTAAATATGTTTATGGCGATGAATTTAACCTATTTCTGGATAGGGTTAGATGTGTAGAAAATAGAGGCGCAGGGAAAATGGTGAAAACCTTTTTGTAACAAGTGGAATGTGAAAAAGATTAACTTTTTGATGTATTTCTGAGGTCATATCCTTGTCATTTTGACGCAAAAAAGCTACTTAAAGGAGGGCACGTTAATTTTAAAAGACATCATAAAAAAATAGGTAAATTTCATCCAAAATACTTGAGAGTTGGTGAATTAACATAACTTTGGATGATCTTTCCAATGGTATATCACACTAGGTACCTTCTGTTCAGGTTTTAGCTGTAGCAGGGGGGACGGGACTTATTTGACACCCTGTATATTTCAACTTTAACGAGACTGTCTAAAATCCTCATGACGCACCCTTAAAGTTTGTGCCTTGTTCATGTAACATTTCAATACCCAATGTTCCCATTTAATGCTAGACTTTGTCCTTAGTGATTGATCTATCATAGTAACATTGTGTGCGGTTTCTCTAGCAGTTTTTTAAATTCCGCTAGCCACGTAGCTCCTACAGCGCCATCTACAACCCGATGGTCACAGCTGAGAGTAACACTCATCATACTTGCTGCGCTATACCTGCAATTACAATAGTGACATCTATTAGTTAAACATGATGCCACAAATTGTAAAGTACATTAGGAGTAACAAAATAGTCTTCGCAACCTATTGCCCTTGAAAGTTGAATGTTTGAAGTAGATGACATGTTTGGTTTAAAGCTAAAATCAAAGTGGTTTTAGATGGGATTTCTTCAATTTTTGAGTGAATTATGAATATGTTGGGGGGGGGGCTTTATCAGTCTGCAGAGATTAAATCAGAAACATAGAAATTGAGTAAACCTTGGATTTATATTTCCAACCAGTTTATTTTGAGGTGATGTAATCTATTTAATATAAGCTAGAATTCCAGTTGGATGAAATCCTGCTTGAAAGATACAATTGTTTATTCCTTTGGCCTAATATTCATCGCGGTACATACCCTAAATCATTATGCTCATCAACCACCAACCGCTGCTCTGATCCTCCCACTGCTAGTATACAAGCCTGCAAATATCAAATAAAAGTTGAACATACATTAAGCACAAGTACAATTTAGCATATAAGAAATATCATGTAGTGTAGCCAAGACAGATCACTTGAAGGGCTATCTTTAAGACATGACTGATATAAACTATAGAAACCAGAATTTAAAACAGTAATAAATATTGAATTTCAATGAGCAAAAACTTTAAGTTGAACAGATCATTGGGTTTCCTGAAATTTTGATCACAAGATCTAAGTGGCGCGCACTACCCATACAAATGCATGAAGACAATGACAACAGAGTACTTAAAGTAAAGTGCCATAAAAGTATATAGGTGACCTGTGAAATCAGAGTTGTGCTTACCTGTGGTGGATTAATGACTGCTGAAAAGTTCTTAATACCAAACATGCCTAGGTTGGAGATTGTAAAGGTGCCACCCTGGAAATAATTGATTTTTTTTGTTGTTTTATCATTTACTCCAGATAATATGAATGGAATTTTTACAATGCTAATGAAGGGCTTCATGAAATTTATGTTTAGCTCTATTCACACCACTACCAGCTACATTATATTAAGAGCTTTAACTTAGTTATACTTTATTAATCAAAGATAATTACATTTTTTACCTTTAAGGAGATGCATCTGAGATTGTTGAGATTTTATCAACATTTAACCTTAAAATCTCCTGCAATTGCAAAAACTGCATATGATGACCAATATACAAGCATCTTACCTGAAATTCATTCAATTGTAATTTTCCATCCCGGGCCTTTTGAGCTAGAGTACTGACATCAGAGTTGATGGTTGCAATGCCCTGCAATATAAATTATAACAGCATTGATATTAATCACTACAGAGACAGAAATTGAATTGAAAGAAAACCGCCCATGTGTATGCCACAGAATGAGTATTTTTATATTCTGTTCTGAGAAAAATGGGTATGTCTCGGGAAATAGATCACTCAAGGATTTAAGCTAAATGAATTGCGGATGATTTTAAGCCTGAATATCTTGTATCAAGACTTTGAATAAGGGCAGTAGCCCAAATTCAAAGGCAATGATACAAGACATGAGTGCATTAAATCACCTACAATTTATTGAGAATGCAAATTGTTTTAAATATTGTATTCCGATTCGTCAGAATTTGATATGTTATGAGTAAAGGTGCATGGGTTCAGTAGTTTGCAGTTCATTAAAAGTCTGGAGGAACCCAAGTTATTTTCCAAGGTAGCTTATGGGCCTGGGTGATTATTAATGTAATGTTAATTGAGAGTTTGACCTCTAAACTAATTAAATGCAATTTTACCTAAAAGTGATTTTATCTCTAGAAAAATGTTAAGCAGGTGGAAAAATAATGCTACATACCTTGCTGTCAGCATTGAATACTATAGGTGTAATTAGACCACTTTCAGTAGACACTGCTACATTGACATCTACACTATCATATCTGAAACAAATATTTACTAATACAGAATAGCTTTAAAATGCAAAGTTTATGCACTTTATTTATGTTTATAAAATATGACAACAGCAACTCCACAGAGTAGCAAATCTTACAAAATAAAATACTTTGAAAAATATGAAATACAGTTAAACCTATCTAAGTGGAACACCTTTGGTCAAGTTTTCCACTTGGGATGTGTTCCACATCATTTAGCATTAACTCAGTTAGTCATGGGACTCTGAAGTGTTCCACTAACAAAGGTGTTCCACTACTAGAGGTGTTTCACTTTAAAGGTTTCACTGAGCTTGCGAATAGATTACTTACTGCCTTATAAAAGTATCCTGCCATGAAGAGTTGGCTTCTGGTACCTTCTTGCAAGCCTGGGCCGCAGCTTTGATTACAAAGTCATTTACAGACAACTTCTGATTTTCCTTGGCTAAGTATTCATTCAATTCTTTTCTCAATCTAAATCAAAGCAGAAATGCACAAAATACTGAAAATACAATTTCTAAAGCTATACAAGAAAATTGGAATATTTTAGCCAAGTCCTCAATCAACTGTTCTCAATCTAAATCAAAGCAGTAATGTGTATTATGCATTGCATTTCTGTTCATTCAAGTAAAGAAAAATTTGAGTTGAGATTTTGGAAAATCATGAACACTATTGAGATTTCTACAAATGATTTCTTACATTCAGTGAAATTCAGGAAATATACAAGTAGAATTATACTCCTAGACTAGATTCTAACCATGTCCCCGAAATAACAACATGGACAAAAGAGTGTTAATGATAATATCACTGTGGAAATATATAACCAAACTCTAGAAAGTATTGAAATTGTATTCAAAAATGAAGTTTTAACAAGAAAAACCTGGCTTAATGCGAAAAATTGTACAACAGCAACAGACCTTATTATACTACACTGGAAGATTTTACATTCAATATATCCATGTAATCTTTTACTGCATAGATATGGTATTTTAAATTCAAGCAAATGTACAAGCTGTGATGAAATAGATAATTTAGAGCATCATTTTGTTAAATGCAAAGCAGTTGCTGAATTTTGGACTAAACATTTCCCAAATATAACTGCCAATCAAATATATGGAATAGGTAAAGTAAAGAATTACAAAAATATACTGATAGCAAAGTTATCTATTCACAAATGGTATATTGAAAAATGTGTGAGTAACTTAAATACTCTTTATGAATTTGAAATCTCATCTTTGTACCATACCTGTAAATAATTATGTTGAAATGAAATAAATTTTATCAAAAAAAAAAAAAAAACTCTAGAAAGGTATAAAAAGCATGTTGAGAAATTATCAAAGGAATCCAATGTACTATACTTACGCAATTATTTCATCCATATTAATATCAATCGAAAGGTAGTAATGCGGTATTGTCTGTTTTGATTCTGTTAAACGTTTGGCAATCACCTAAAAATATAATCAAATCAAAGGCTATCCCTATCCACTGATACATGTGATAATATAAAGTGGTAATAAAAACTAAAAATGCTCAGAGAAGTATGTGTCGTGATCAACAAGAACAGGGTTAAATGTTCATCAAAAGGGAGGTGAAAATGCAATCATTGAAGTTGTTAAAACATCTTTATGAATTGAATTTATCAAAAGGTAATCTTATGTTTTCTGTAAATTACACTTAAAATCCATGCTAGGTATATTTCACTCATTATTTCAATAAACAAATTTTTACATCAAAAATTCACTCTGACAAATTCACTAAACGATATAAAATCATAAATGAATCTGAAAACCAACCTGTCTCATGCTGCTGAGTGGTATATCAACAAAGCCTGCACCAGCTGTAGGGGGAGGGGTGGCAACTACAACACTGGGGGTAGAGGCAGCACTGGGGGTGAAAGACTGTACATCCTGACCCCTGATTCTGCCTTCTGGCCCTGTGCCAGTTACTTGCTACAATAAATTGTAAAATAAGTCTAAAGTTCTTTATAAACGATGTTAGGTCAAACATGTAAGTCCCATGATTTACCAAAGGATGTCCACATTTATAGAAATATGAAGAGAAAGGTATAAAGGTTTAAGATTTTATTAGAATGACAAAAAATTCAGCTTGTCATAAGAAAACCGTACAATCTGACTACACTCCAAAAAACTTTTAATGTTGTAAAATTTCAGCTTTTTGCATATATCAATTTTTGCTATTACTAGTTTGGCCTTAACAGGAATTTGCACTATGATCAAGACATAACAGGTTGTCACCTTTGTTAAGAAGGGGTCCTTTTTTCAGTAAAGGTACATATCGAGTCAATACTGAATGAAATACTAGTACTATTGAATCCCAATTATTTCTGCCTATTTCACATTTGAAAAACTAATATGTGAAAATTAGCATGTGAATAATACCAGTAGTACAGCATGATATTACCATTATACGAAATATACTTACTGAAAGATCTATTCCCTTCTCAGCTGCTAAAGTCTTGGCTAATGGTGATGCAATAACTCTGCCTCCTGAGGGTGCCGCTGCTGGGGGAAGAGGAGCACTGACAGGTGCAGGGGGTGGGATAGGGGCAGGGGTTGGTGTGGGGGGTGGGGCAGCAGCAGCTACAGGGGCTGGAGCTGGTTCAGCGGGTGCTGCTGGAGCGGCTCCTGCTGGGGGAACATAATCCTTGAATGCTGCAACATTCGCCTCATCCTCCACTATGATACACACCAACTGTAATAATAAATACATTTTAGAACAGTATATACATTTTTATGCAGTGTTTTTGAACATACAAAAATCTGATTGATCTTCAACATCATCTCATTCATGAATATCCATTTCAACATTGTGTCAATAAAACTTGAATGGTTTAATCATGACTGTATACATTTGTGAAATTACCTCTCCTAGTTTAACATCTTTGGTTCCTCCTGGTACCAAGATCTTAGCAAGGAAGCCCTCTTCTGGTGTCTCAAAGCCCATGGTGGCTTTATCGGTTTCTATCTCACACAGAAGGTCTCCCTCTGCCAGTGCTTCACCCTCTTTCTTCTCCCATCGCACTATTGTGCCCACCTCCATAGTAGGTGAGAGAGCTGGTAGGGCAACAGGAACATGATCTGGTAGATCTGAAAATGTTTAACATTATTACATGTACATAAAGAGTGAAGAAGGCAGTTTTCAAATTAAAGTTTCCACTCATCTCAAAAAGAGCTCATGTTGTCTCACTTTTATGTTTGAAAGTATAATACACTGTGCTGGACAACATAAAATACTGGATTTGGTAAACAAGCCTGTAACTAGATACAAGGTACAAGAGACCATTGAGAACCCTAGGGCATAAGAAATCTAAAAGAGACCCGACAATACTAAGTGCAGATAGTAATATAAAACCTGTACATCTGAACACCTGTCAAAAAGAGGGTCCTCCTTGGTTCGATCTTTTTAATCTGCCAGAGACGTCCATATTAAAAACATGTTGAAAAACCTCAAAATGCAAATACCTGCCCATCCAAACAAATAAGGGCACATGGGCAAAGCAAAACTACTTCAAAAAGCTTCAATATCTATGATAAATATATTTGCGATCTTTTATTTTGTAATGGTAATGTAAAGGACTCATTATTTAAAGATTATACATGTTGATTGCAATTTTATCAGTTGATGCTTCTGATTCTAGTTTTAATCAACATTTAGTTTGTCCTTTGCATTTGAAAATGATCAATCACAATTCAGTCAAAAAGATTCAAAATAATCAAGCTAAGACTGCACATTTGTGATGAAAAAGTAAAATAATGTTACATCATCGGTTCAAGGTTTAATTTACAAGTAATATTTAACATCTCTAAGATAATTAGTAATTACACATATTAAAATTACATTAGTGTACCTGAACTATAATATCTGTGTGGTTGTATACAGGCAACGGGAAGTGACTTTTGCAAATGATGTAATGTATGGTTTCTGAAATGACATAATTGCCTCATATATAAAAGGGGTCAACCTCTATATAGACGCATACAGTTAAATAAATATTTCTTATTGAGAAACAAAAAATGTTGGTTTTGATGGAAATATGCAAAGTTGCGTTTGAACTCTCTGGAGATTTTCAATTGAAAGCTAGTCTGGAAAATCATAAATTTATAAAGTTCATTCAGAAATCAAAACTGCCATTTTGGTTTCTCAGTCGAAAATGCTCAGTCGTGTAGTTGAAACCACAATTATCTGAGTTAATCGGCAGAACAGGAACATTTTCCAATAAATGGAGGAATTTGAGGTTTGAAATAAATTAAAATATTACACCCAAATATTGCGATCAAAAACAAACATTTCTTCATTCTGCTGATAAACCCAGATAATTGTGGATTACACTACACGAAAAGAATGCTAAAATACCAAAGAATCTATTGAAGTAGGTATCGTAAGTGTAAGAGGCGTAGAGAATTCTCCTATGTTGTAATCATACAGGCAAAAGATAGAGACGTTCTCAGGACTATAGTTCTGGCACGGGGTAAATCAATACAAATATGTAAGTGGTAAGCTTCGGTCGGTCACCTATACAATCTAGGTAAATAATAAAGAATCCATTTGCGATAAAGTTAATTTAGATTGATGCACTTAACCATACACGTATCAGATTAAATACTGATTTCTTTGGATAAAAACCAGTCCTCTGTGTCCTGGATGTCCTCTGCTCTGGTTATCAAATTGTTTTTACCTTTTCAGTAGAGAAATACTCCTAGACGCACACTGGCTGCATATCATCCGCTTTGTAACTTGTTTACCAAGTCGCTGTATAGTTTGCTGTCTCGCAGCAACCCTCACAAATGCTACCGATCTCAACATCTTGTCAAATGTTGGAAAAACCGGCAACTTGGAAATTTTTCACTTTCAGAGCAAAGATGGCGACCTCTCGTATTTTCTCGCAGACGATGACTTCAAGGTCATGCTTAATACGTGTTTTATGCAGAGCACAGACAATCATATACTCTATGTTTGTATGCATCACTTCAAAATATAATTTGGTACAGGTTTAGGTAATACATACATGGATAAGATATGCATTACTCTTCACAAAGTCCTCGATGTTGTATGTATTGCTTTTCGTTTCTTCTCGCGAGAAGTGAGGTCGCTATAGAAAACAACATGGTGGACAAGATTCAGTTTTAAATAAACTCATACACAATTACTAACATAGAAGCCCATTAAGTCGAAGATATTTTATCATACAAGTAAAATATGCCTGGTGGTAAGTTGTGTTTGCATTATTACTAGTTTTGAAACACGAGAGTATTGTTGGATATCAAAATTTACTCACTTTTTCATAGTCTATTTGACATTTTTATAATTTTTTTGATGAATTTTGAATGGAGTTCAACATTGTCAACGTCAAGTTGAATTGACAGGATCGTTGGTGAAACAATGAGATTAGCAATTTATTTGTCTCTACTGCCACTTTAGGTGTAGACTTAGTCTATATCCAATAGACTGAATTTCCTGAGAATTCCTGAATTTCCTGAATATTTTCATTCCAAATTTCAAAAAAAATTCAGACTAGAGGATATAGTCTAGGTGCAGACTACCTGTTCACACCAATGTCATGTAGTGTATCCGACTTGACAGGACATGTACTTGCTTACATCTGAACATGGATCCCGCCACCTCTACCTAAATAATACATGATTCCCACTTGTCATCACTTTTATCAGTTTATTGTACATGTAACCCATTTAATTAGCCTATGGTCCAAACAAATTATTAGCCATTAAAAGACATAAAAGCTCGTGAATTTTGCTGCATTATTACATGATATTTTCAGAGAAAAAGAAAGAAAAGAAAACTAAGGATGATAGTCCAGAGGTGCTGACTGGAGTTTACATGTTTCCAAATGGAGATAAATATAGTAAGTTGAGTCTGAGATGTGAATCCATTTTAAATTATATAGAAAAGATACTTATATTGCAAATTGTAAAAGCAATCTCAGGTTTATTATTGATCCAAAATAATTGTTTAAGAGGCACTAAGGCTGTGTGACAGTGTTTCTGATTGAAGTATTGAACTGCTGCATGCCAGACATGAATGTTTGAAATATTGAGTTTGATTTTCCTTGTCTTCATGTATTTACATGTTTCATTTTCTTGCTGTGTTTCATTATTCTCTCTTGCCATTTCCCGTTTAGAATCTATTACAGTAAAACCTGTAAAGTGGAACACCTATTTAAGTGAAATACTTTTCTATTTGAAATTTCCTTATAGCATTACCTTACAGATATTAAGTGAACCTCTATACGTTGAACACCTCCAATAAGGAACACTATTTTGAGGTACCAAAGGTGTTCAACTTATACAGGTTTTACTGTTTATCCAAAGAGCATGTAGGGAATTGAATTATCATTTCAGATGGAGAATATTTACAAATTGATGGTGGTTTAGAAAGAACAGGCAGTGGTACCCATGTAACTGCAGAGGGCACCTGCTATACAGGACAGTGGGAAAATGATAAGATGAATGGACAGGGGACTTTAGAGCATCCTTTGGGAGCAACATATATTGGGGACTTCAAAGACAATATGTTTCATGGAAGAGGAAAATACACATGGCCAAATGGGTCATTTTATGATGGGAACTTTGTTGAAAACAGGTACAGTACACTGAACTTTGGTCATCACTGATGTTGATCTTATATTGAAAAAATCACCAGTGAAATGTCTAGTAAATCTGTTACGGAAATTATTTTCTTAACAGCTAGACCTCCTACATGTATCTCTCCTTGTCAAGGAATGTGTAAAGTAAAGAACAATATGGTTAACAAAAAATGATATTTTGTAAACAAAATTGCCTTTTATCATCCACTCACCCTCCATAAAAAACTAGATTACATGGAGAATCTAGCTAATCTAGAATCAGGCTAACTGACTCAATTTAGCTATGGATATATTTTTTATACTTAATGTTCATTGAAATATTTGCAAATGAATAGACAGATACAATTACAGTAATTAAATATGTAACATCCCTTGTCTTTCAGGATTGAAGGTGAGGAAGGAGAGTTCACAGATACAGAGGGACAAATATGGACTGGTACATTCAGATATAAAGCTGCCCCCGGACTCCGATTTAAACTCAGTTTGTGAAAGAAATGACTCTATGGAAACACTTAAATGTTAGTTGTTGGTGGATTCTGATTATGATTTAAGATGGTCTGAGCATTGTTATTAGTAATAACTTATTACACATGTTTAAATCGAAATACACCAATGGGGCAGTCCTTATTTTCTATCAAGTTCCAATAATTCCTATCTTATGTGCTCCTTGAGGCCCTATAGTGCCCATATTGCCCCAAAGGGCCGTTCCACTGAATACCACAAAATGTCAAGTGTATTCCTTGGCTGTTCTATTGTGACCCATTGGTGTACAACATGCCTTTGCCTTTCCTCATACCAATCTGTATCCACAGTCTAGACAAGCCCAATTTGTGACACAATACAAATGTATTACTGTACTCCTGGTAAATTTCGACGCTATAAAATTTCACGATTTTTCAAAATTGCAATTTCGCGGCTATATAATTTCGCGGATTTGAGTTGATGACATTGAATCAATGCGTATCTGGCTATTTTAGTCTGTTCAGAATCCGAATAATGTTTGTATTTCCCGCGTTAGGGCATTTATTTGAATATTCTTGAATGGCTTTTTCAACTTCAATTTGTGTGATATCATTGTCGTCAACAGTACTTGCCTTTGTTTGCCTAATAAGACAATTCAAAATTTAAATTTAAAAGACAAATTTCGCGACGATAAATATTCGCGATTTTACTACATTCGCGAACAAAGCAAAATTAAATCGCACGCAAACATTACCCGGAGTACAGTATTTAAAATCTTAAACCTCCATATTAAGAACTAATAACTAATGGATTGTATTATGGAGAACCATATATATTTATCAATAATGTACAAAACAATTTTTTAATATTTGCTAAATATTGTCAAATTAAAAGGATAAAAATAAAGTATTTTAAGTAAACCTTGACCATGTTTTCAAATGTTGTGTCTCAAGTTACATTTACATATATATCTAGTATATAAAATAACTAAAAACTCAATTTTTAAAGTTTGAATTGTCCTAATCTTTTGGATGAAAATGTCCAAACATCAAACAATTTTAAACAAAACATTTGCAATTTTGAGAAAAAGTTTCCCCAAATATTCTGATAAATGGCATTCATAGATAAAAATATTTTTCAATAAAATTTAAGTCAAAATATACTATAAGACATTAATACATTGATCTAGTTCCCATAAATCAGCATTAACCTCAATCATGATTTTATGCAAACCTATTTCAAACTAAATGGATGATGTATCAACAGATTTGCTTGAAACAATTGCAAGTTTTAGTTGCTGTATAAATCTGGCCTTTTACAACTCATGCATTACAACAAATGTTATGTCAACTCTGATTACTGTACTGAATTTCAAAACAATGTTTTTTCTTTGATTTTTTATGAATGGGCCTATGTAAAATTTAGTGATGCAGGAAACCCTAGGCACATTCCATTTTGGTAGTTTGTTTAAGTGTCAACCTTGACTGATAAACAAAGGAAGATTGACCACAGGGAATATTTTGTATATTGAAAAGGACAGTTGAAAGAAACTTAAAGCTATTTCAAGTAAAAGTTAGAGAAAGTTAAATTCTTTGAGATATTGAAGGATAAAATGTGCATAGGTTTCCTGTACCACTCAAGTTTAGCTAGATATAATATAAAAACTTTTTAAATAAATAAGCTTTTTGAAGTTCTGGATATGAATCAGAAGTTGTCTTAACATTACACTGTTGGAATGCTCTAAATTATAAAGTTATATTGCAATTAGTTCAGATCTTCTGAGACAACCCTCCTATATCCAGCTAAAATTTGACTTTAGTTTTTATCCATCCATTTATATATCCAGTAAAACAAGTGTCAGTAACAGTTCCACTACGATACTGCATAGAGTGAGTGTATGAGCTATGTTCACAATCATAGAGCAACAGTTTGATGCAAAATGAAATCAGTCGGGTATCCCAATGTCCTTAATATTTTGTCCAAATGCAGTTCAGTTAATACATGTAATACAAATATATCCTTGTAATTCTTCTTTTTATAATAAATATACTAGAAATTCAGAACTTAGGTCAACTATCTCTGGGCCGTCACCTCTTTGTGAATTTAATGATATGTATGTCCTCACTCCGATAATGGGGGTCTTGTTTTTCTTGTGGAATTTCCTCAGTTGTGAATGCTTTATTGATGAGCTGTAAAATACAACATGAAAAAAATCCTCAATTAAACTTTTGATTAATTAAAAAGTATAGATCATGCAACAGGGTGTTTGTTGATGAATAGGAGTGAACTGCATGTGAATTCAGAAGTTGATGCAGTCAATATACACTCTGATCTGAGATCTATATATTATGATTATAATGTGCCTGAAAGATGGAAATGTCCAAAAGATATTAAATCAAACTTTATATTAATCAAGAGCAGAAAATGTTTATAAATACCAGGAAATCCAGTGAAATTGTATCAAAACAATGCATTGACATGCAAAATGTCACCACCTGCCATTTATTATAGACACTGACCATTGAATGGTGTTACAGATGCCAAACACTAAACACCATTCACAAAAAGTTGGAGACTATAACAATATGTCACCACTTCTGGTGGTGGAATAACAAAAAATGATGTTATTGCAAGTGGTTTCTATTCTCCATGTAATCCAACTTTGTCTCCACACATTATAATTCTAAGCTAGGTTATACAAATGGATTCCATTAACAGAACAACCCAAAACTGCAAAAATGACAACCCAAAACTGCAAAATGACATTTTATCATCTGCAAAATTAATCAAATCAAATTTGATCAATATTATAATGATAACTTGCCCTTTCATCAGATGTATGTCAAATGTAATCAATTTTGGAGCTGAAAATCTCAAGTGACTGTAAAATACCCAAAAGGTTTATGGGTACAGAGGCATGTAATTCCTGTTGATTTGAAACTGACTTCAAGATACAGGGCATTTTGTCAAAAATGATAGGATCCACTTGTTTAACAGTGAAACAGATAATCGACTATTCAAAGAGAAAAACAGTGGTGTATGTATGCAGTAAGCATTTACCAAAAAGGATTTATAAGGGTAAAGTACCTGAAAGAATTTTTTCTGTAGCATAGGTTTATTGCCAGTTGTTCTCTCCTCATAACAACACAAAACCATTGTCTCAGGTCCTGATAAATCTTCAATTGTCTGTACAAGTGGCTCCAAGCTCTGAAAATCATATAAGAGAACTTTTAAGGTTTTATCTTGGTATATCAGGCCTGTAGCCAGCTTTTGCCAATGGGGATTCACTTTTCAAAAAATTCCATGGGGATTCAAATTTGACAACTTTGGCCACAAAATCACTTGAAAAATGCACAGTTTGGTGGAAAACTGCATGATTTTGATCAAATATTTGGCCGAGGAGGGGGTGGGGACTAATAGCAAGGAAGAGAGTCAAGACATTTCTTTTGCCCATTAAGCATAAGCCTGAACAATTTGAACCCAATCAGTCTGACAGTATTTGAATTATCACCTGGACAGATGAACAAACGACAGCACAAATTAATGAATGGATTGATGGATGGATTCTCTGTCGTTAAGATTGATAATTACATGACGTTTCCTTCTACAGGTATTTTCAAAAGTGGTGTCCATATTGTTTAAGAAAACCTATTTTCCAATAAGCAGTACATTCTTTCAGTCTGCTATATTATTTCACATATGAATTTACAGAGAAATAGAAAGACAGGGCTTCACTATAATCTAATAACTTCATTCCTTGGGGTGATAGTCATATACAACTGTAATAATATGAGGTTATATAATGGTTCTTTCTGTATATCGTTTTTATACTCGAGTGAGTATATGATATATTCACAAGTGAGCGTAGCGAACGAGTGAATATATTATATTCTCACGAGAGTATAAAATGCACGATATACAGAATGAACCATTATATAATCTTATTATGCCACTCTAAGTTCTAGTTGATTCGAACACAATCATAACAATTAAAAACCATAAAAATATCCCATAGCCAACTCAATAATGTTGATGTTGATCTCGAACCATTTATGACGTCACTTGATTCTAGGAAATCATGAAAATTTTCATGATTTTTCTATTCATTAGTTCCCAGAATGCACTTCTACAGTGGTATACGCTGGAGTGTATACGGAGGAGTTGTATACGATGACGATATACCACTCTCCACTGTATATCGTTGTTATAGACCCATGTTATACAACTGTAATTGGACTTAGAGTGGTATAAGCGTTGGTATACCTCTTCATAATATATACAGTCTGCTAGAAGTAGAATATCGACAGGAGACTTGAATGATGAGATGTCTTCTCCCCACTTTAGTTCTTTTGCTACAACAGTTCCAGTTATATTTTCTGCATTGTTCTTTATATTGAGATCCATCAATGGTAGAAATTCCTTCAGATCTGTAATTGTGACATTGCCTCTGAAAAATCAAGAAACAAATGTTAAGTGTAAAAAACAGAAACAAGGCATAAACAACCAAAATGTCACCACCTGCCATTTGTTACAGATGCCATGTTACAGACACCATGTTACTGATGGCAGATGCCGAAGACCAACCACCGACTGCTCTCACAAAAAAAACTTGTGGTGGTGACATAAGCACATAATAACTTTACAGTAGTATAGGTGAATCTAATATCAAATATTTTAACCACATGAACCAGGGTATGCTGTCTTCCTGCATAGACGTAACAAAGGTGATATGTGGATGTAACTGCCTTGATGACTTGCCATTTAAGAAAATGTTATGGTCCAAAAATGATCCATTGAATGAAGAGCTCTGTCCACGTCTACATGCACATGGATGTGGTGGACATCATTAAAATGCCCACATCTATGATGTGAGGGGCCTTCATAGAAATAAAGCAAGCAAGTACCAAAAATTATCTTGACAATTGTATGCTCTGCTTGACTTACTCGAGTCTCTAGCCAATTCTTGGCTAGAAGTAATTTCATCTGGAAAACTGTGAACCATTTGAAAAAAGCTGGCCGTCGTGTTATAAATTTATTAAATATTTTAAAAATCGCCAGATGAATATATCATAAAATAAAATGGAACTGGCTAGGCTTCTTGATGAGATATTGCATGATTTCGTCAGGATTTTGTCTAAAATTAAAATAAATGGCTCCAAGAAAAATTGCGATATTCGAAAACTGGACAAAATGTCGTTATTGTCTGACATTAGTAACTGGCTGTAAATTCTAAGTTAGTGATCTAGAAGATGTGAACTAATACATTGATCACTTCATGTGTGTTTTGGAATTTTTGGTGAGGTAATAAGATAAATTTTATGATTACGACACATATACAGCAGTAAAAAAAACATGCAGGGATTCATCTTTGGACTAAGGCCACGATATAGTGGCAGTGGCCTTAGAAGAAGGTAATGCTTGACCACATGTAAAAACTAATCAAAGAAGATGGGAAAACTTTGTCCTTGTGGGCTTATTGACACCATGGGCTCTATCAGGTGGTAGAGCCTTACCTTCTTCTAAGGCCACTGTATCGTGCGTGGCCTTCCAGTACAGATATATTCCTGCATGAACAACTGGTCATGTTGTAATCATAAAATTTGAAATCATATGTCCACCATTTTTCCACATCACAATTTGAATTGCGAGTTTTGGTCTTATTACCTCACCAAAAATTCCAAAACACACATAAAGTGATCAGTGTATTAGTTCACATCTTCTGTATCGTACTTAGAATTTACAGCCAGTTACTTATGTCAGACGTTAACGACATTTCGTCCAGTTTTCGAACATCGCCATTTTTCTTGGAGCCATTTTGTTTTAATTTTAGACAAAATCCTGTCGAAATCATGTCATATCTCATCAAGGAGCCGAGCTGGGTCCGGTTTGATTAATGATTTATTTATCTGGCGATTTTTAAAATATTCAATTAATTTATGACACCCCAGCCAGCTTTTTTCAAATAGAGTTCACGTATTCCAGATGAAATCCCCTCTAGCCAAGTATTGGCTAGAGACTCGAGTAAGTAGAGCCCATGTTGACACCTGATGAGATGTGTTCATGTGTGATAACATAGCAACTTTTACTAAACAGTACTTGATTCTCTCAAAAGAAATCTGAATAGAAAATAAACAAAATACTGATAATTTCACAAACTGACAAACCCTAAACAAGCAGCTTGAATCCCAACCGCTCCAGTTCCAGAACCGAGCTCCAAGATTATTTTTTCTTTCATACTGGATTCCCCTGCAGAATTATGGAAATCAGGCATTTCTAGATAGCACATCAATACGAGAGCGGCATCCCAAACAACACAACCAACATCTCCTGTTGAACATTGGCTTATATTGAGTGACGAACCGTTTTTTCTTTCAAATTCTCTGACAAAAATATTTTCCATGGAGGCTGCCATTTTGACACGTCACATGACTGTCACATGACTCTGGGTCAAATTGCCCTTATTCTATCTTTATATATTCTGGACTGTCTGCTAAAGTTTACTATTACCCCTTTCGGACTACAAACAGTATTGATGGAATATGTTCTCCTCAGACTGTGCCCACATTCGCGTGAAAATGACCTATCACATTTGCACTTTTAGCAGACGAATTATTTGTTTGTGGCGTGTCACAGATCATTTGACCAATGAAATTATTGAGCCTTTTCACTTCTTTCCAATTTTGTAACTCAAAACATTTTCAAACATGTTTGCATCTAACCTATTTCTAGTAAGATCGGTGAGTATACAAATTAGTTTATGTTACACGATTATAGACCTGTTTTTGATGCTTACGTTTAAAGCTGACAATAGTCACAATTATCCCAGTATCTTCATTGACGAATATAAGTGTAAAGGGGGGGGGGGGGGGGGGGGGTTAGATTTGTAGGCATTTGTCCAGTAGTTACCAGCTGCCAGGAGTCAAGACTGTATCAGCCCTGCGGCAGACTGAAAGTACCCATCACAAAGTCTTGTTTTTGAAAACCTAAAACCTCATGCCATCGATGCTGATGCCATCTAATTGAAATCCCATGCCGAAACGTACATTGTACCGAAAACCAATAGACCGACGCGCATTGTATCGAAAAATAATATTCCAATGTGTGTTGTACTGAAATCCATGTGCGTTTTACTGAAAACCATTGCTGTTGTGTATACCATGGGCTTTCAACTAATTTCTAATTGAAAGCCCATGTGTATACCCCGGGGGGTTCACTGTGTACAAAATTTGGCGGGGGTCCTAGGCTGAACCATGGGCTTTCAACTAGTTGAAAGCCCATGGCTGAACCCTCAGATATCAATATATTCCCATACCAAAATGTCAAATTTGGATGTGTTTCCATACCAACCGATATAGTGCCCAAAAGCCATACCAAATGCCCAAATATGAAACCAATGCCATTCCAAATGTCAAAATATAGGAGCATAGTCATATAAATCTGACCCTCGTATGATGTTATTTGTTGTTATTTTTTTCTGATTTGGATATTTATTTTTCTTATTTTCTTGCATACGAGGGTCATAAACACTAGCGCTTGTATATTGCGGGAATTGCTTTCCTGGCATGTCTACCCAACCAAATTCACACAAATGATAAATTAATTTCTTTGCTTCAACTATAAAGTATTTAATCTTACCTTAGGCACGTAAAACGCTTGGTAATTGAAGAAATATAAGCACGCTGCTAAATTTTAAAATTTTCTCATTTTGCCTACCAAGGTCACTTCCGGGATAATCTGATAGTCTAGATGTAAAACTATATCAAACGAAATCATAAGTTTTTGTTACACAAATATTAGAGAGATTTCGCACCTAGTGAAAGCACAACTTATAACGTATACTTATACTTATAGGTAAACGTACAAGGTGTTTCATAATGTGGGCTTTTCGTCAGGAAGGATCTTCTCGGACTGTAATAAATACAGGTCAAAGGGATGCCATTTGTACTTTCTTGAATTGTAGCATGTTTAGTTGATCCAAATGTCTTTGTCTAGAATAAAATAGGCTCATATAAAGTACATACATGTTATAGACCCATCTCTTCTCAAATTGACTTTTTGGAGATGCTCGTTATGAAACACCCTGTATGTGTTGAGCTACTGAATTTACTGTTTCCAGGAATTGCTAGAACCTACTGGTTTGATTGGTGTTTCAAATTGATGGTTAAAGTATTTGATTGGATACTGTTCCCACTCAGCATTTTAAAAAATGCTTGCGGTCAATTGTTCCACACACGTGTAGGCAAATCTTTATACGGAGATCCAACTGTATACGTTATCATCTACGTAAATATACCGTTTTATAAGTTCATTGAACTTATACTGATCATGAAAACATTGAAATAATCAACTTGTTTATGTAATGACTCACTTTAAAGAATCATGACTCACTTTAAAGGATCGTGTTTATAATACACTACAATTACAAGGACACGGAAGCAAGCATTTAATCATAATGTGCATAATCTACACCTGCAGATGACAGTGCATTCACAGTCTCTAGTTGATGGAGCTTTTCTATAATGGGAATAGTTATGTTCCATTAAGTACAATTTAAAATTGATTTTAGTAAATATAATAGTTCGACATGACCCTTTAAACTATACGTATACGTATAAGTTGTACTTTCACTTATGTGCGAAATCTCTCTAATCAGTTGAAAGGGAAGCAGTGTCGTTGAGAAGGGAAGTTATTTGGAAAAGTTATTGTTTCAAAATGAGAAAAGTAATAAGTGGCAGAGAACGGCTTTGGAATCGATCTCTGTGTAATAAATAATTATGATTCCGTTTCGATACATGTTATACATTTAGACTACCGGAAACAACATTCAGCAACATGGCGGGCGATAATGAAAATATAATTCAATTGATTATATTTCATCAATTATCAAGCGTTTTACATGTCTAAGGTAAGATTTAACACTTTGGTGTTGGAGCTAAATAATTACGTGATAATTTGTGTGACTTTGGTTAGTATGGTAACTATATTTACCAAGACAGGCCAGAAAAGCGTTTACTGCAATTTGTTCCATATAATATCTACGACCGTGTATGCAAAGAAAATGATAAAAAATAAATATCCAAATAAGAACAAGGAATATCGAAGAACAGCATACAACAGTCGGATTTATATGACTAATAGGAGCAATGCCATACCAATGACATGACTGGTCCAAAGTAGAATATTTCCCAGGAAAAAAGCTATTTATTTAAACTGAAGAAGGTCCCAGGAAGAAGTCGATCTTTGAGGAAATGAACCAAAACAACCTCATATTAGGATATGTGTAACTACTAGACCAATTCCATACCATAATTGTGAGATAACATATTTTCCATGACCATTCTCATACAAGAAAGTTGAAAAATCTGACCATTTCCATCCCTCAAAAGTCATAATGAGGGGGCATTCTCATACCACATCCTAAAATGTGGGTCCATTGCCATACCAAATGTCAAAACAGGTACCCCATGTGCACTGAGGATCCCCGTCAAGGTTTATATACAGTGAACCCCCCGGGGTGTATACCGATCTGAGGCCCGGGTATACTGTCATTAATAATTCTTATCCATTAAAGCTTATAAAAATCAGTCTCATTCTTATACATCTAAGTTATCTAGTAAAGGAGAGCTCTCAGTATAATATACATGTATACACCACGCATTAACATCTCAGTACTCTAGCGGACATTTCTAACATATTCCTGGGCCTCAGATACCAATAGTCCGACACCATGATGTGATGTAAAAAGGCTTGTAATAGAAGATGTATGAAGGGTAGAAAATTATGATAGATATTATTGAAAATCATGCACATTTAATCATGAAGACCAGGCAGGAAATAGCAACAGAATGCTATTCTAAATAAGCTTCATCAAGAAAGGGAACTCAAAACTGCAAACATCCTAAAATCACAGCCCATTAAGTCAAACCTTCATGTAGAAGTTTTAAGTCTGCAAAACTATGTCACTTATTTATTATTTAGGTTAAGTTTGGATCAAAATAGATTTAGAATACAATGTATTATATATCGTAAACAAAAGGGGTACTCAATGATAATAGCTTGCGAAGATATTTCGTGATTTATAATTAAAGTTCTGTGCGTAACACTTAATTTTCCAGTCCCTGAAAATTTGATTCGATTTTGTTATGAATGATATTAAAGAACACAAATAAGCTTTCCAATGGTTTGATGTAGATGTGGCTAGCTATTTCAAACCATATGTAACATTGTCAGTCAGCAAAAAATGTTTTGTCATCTATTGATTAAGTTCAATGCATAACGATTGATTAGGTATTTCAAATCATAAAAATGTATGTACTGTTGTCAGTTTGTGAAAGTATTTCATCATCTAGTACACAATTCGTTACATTTAATTTCAATTCAATTTACTGTATTTTCTTATTACATTTTTATCCCGTTTCTCTGCCCTTGAGAAGGGATCCTTGAATTAAAGGCTTGACAACACTGAATGAATGTTAGAATTGTGGCGGCAACTTTTTTTAATTGGCTACCATTTTCGAAGATTGTTCTAAATCAAACGTCTTTTGGCCATTAGGGATATTCCTATAAACTATTGAGTTGTTTTCCAAATAAATGGACGGACAAACAGACAAACAAATGGGCGGCTTTTTTGGATGACAGGTTGTTCTTGTCTCAAAATACATGTTCTCTCGTTTGTAAGTATTTTTGTCAATTCTAATTAATGAATATCACGTATCAAAACTTAAAAAGTGTCTAATATTTTACTCCAAATAAACTTTAAATATCCCGTGTTAGATATGTGTGCATTATGACATTTGGTATAACGTTTTTCGGTACAATGCGCTTCCATATAATGGGTTTCGGTATGCACGTCGGTATAATGGGTTTCGGTATAATGCACGTCGGTATAATGGGTTTCGGTGTAATGCGCATCGGTATAATGGGTTTTGGTATCGTGCGCATCGGTATAATGGGTTTCGGTATAATGCGCGTCGGTATAATGAGTTTTTGTATAATGCTCACTTTGCTCTATTATGTTCACATCTCTAAGATTTTAAAAATCGCTCGCAAATTTTTCATTTTAGGTTGGCAAGTCTGCTATTAGAGTTATATGAACAAAATATTACCCATGATGCATTTCCCAGGGGAACTCTTGCAATGTGTAGCTCCTTTTGCTGTGACCTCCCCTTTCATTATAAATAGAACCCCTGGGTTAATCTTGGTTACGCCCCTTGTATACCCTGTGTACTATTACATTTTCAGGTGACTAAACCACTGTATAGTGCTTCAGTCTTACGCTCAGTGTGGACAGGTCAAGAACCACTGGCCATAGATGATCCAGAAGTTAATGCGCTTATCAAGGAGGAGAAAAGTCGGCAGGTCAATGGCTTAGAGCTCATTGCATCTGAGGTACAGTTATAATATAACTTTCATCTGCATTTATTTATAACCAATAGTGGAATACATATACAATTTAGGTAAGGCAGAATGCAATTGTAAGTAATTTATAAGATGTGTTGTTATTATGATATCTATTAAGGAAACATGTATCAGCTCTTTGATGTTTTACCACTCATTATGTCACCACCAAAAGTGGTGACATATTGTTATGGTCTCCGTTTTTTTGCGACGGCGTCCGGCGGTTGGTGGTTGGCGTCCGGCGGTTGGCGTCCGGCGTCTGTAACAATTTCTTACAACTTCCTATAACTTAACAAATACTGTTTAGACTGACTTCAATCATTTTCTAAATCATCTACATGTTCTCAGAAGTTCAAATCTGACTTTAGATTTGACATTTGACCTTCAATGACCTTCTCAAGGTCAAAAAGGTCTTTTTTCAACTTGCTTCACATTGACTAAATTTTTTTTCAAAATCATCTACATGTTCTCAGAAATTCAAATCTGACTTTAGATTTGACATTTGACCTTCAAATCTGACTTTAGATTTGACATTTGACCTTCAATGACCTTCTCAAGGTCAAAAAAGGTCAAAAAGGTCTGTTTTCAACTTGCTTCAAATTGACTAAAAAATTTTTTCAAAATCATCTACGTGTTCTCAGAAATTCAAATCTGACTTAAGATTTGACATTTGACCTTCAATGACCTTCTCAAGGTCAAAAAAGGTCAAAAAGGTCTGTTTTCAACTTGCTTCAAATTGACTAAAAAAGATTTTCAAACTCATCTACGTGTTCTCAGAAATTCAAATCTGACTTTAGATTTGACTAAAGATTTGACATTTGACCTTCAATGACCTTCTCAAAGTCAAAAAAGGTCAAAAAGGTCTTTTTTCAACTTGCTTCAAATTGACTAAATTTTTTTTTCAAAATCATCTACATGTTCTCAGAAATTCAAATCTGACTTTAGATTTGACATTTGACCTTCAATGACCTTCTCAAGGTCAAAAAAGGTCAAAAAAGTCTGTTTTCAATTTGCTTCAAATTGACTAAATTTTTTTTCAAAATCATCTACGTGTTCTCAGAAATTCAAATCTGACTTAAGATTTGACATTTGACCTTCAATGACCTTCTCAAGGTCAAAAAAGGTCAAAAAGGTCTGTTTTCAACTTGCTTCAAATTGACTAAAAAAATTTTTCAAAATCATCTACTTGTTCTCAGAAATTCAAATCTGACTTTAGATTTGACTTAAGATTTGACATTTGACCTTCAATGACCATCTCAAAGTCAAAAAAGGACAAAAAGGTCTTTTTTCAACTTGCTTCAAATTGACTAAAATTTTTTTTCAAAATCATCTACATGTTCTCAGAAATTCAAATCTGACTTAAGATCTGACATTTGACCTTCAATGACCTTCTCAAAGTCAAAAAAGGTCAAAAAGGTCTTTTTTCAACTTGCTTCAAATTGACAATTTTTTTTTTTCAAAATCATCTACATGTTCTCAGAAATTCAAATCTGACTTTAGATTTGACATTTGACCTTCAATGTCCTTCTCAATGTCAAAAAAGGTCAAAAAAGGTATTTTTTCATCTTGCTTCAAATTGACTAAATTTTTTTTCAAAATCATCTACATGTTCTCAGAAATTCAAATATGACTCTAGATTTGACTTTAGATTTGACATTTGACCTTCAATGACCTCCTCAAGGTCAAAAAAGGTCAAAAAGGTCTTTTTTCAACTTGCTTCAAATTGACTAATTTTTTTTTTCAAAATCATCTATATGTTCTCAGAAATTCAAATCTGACTTTAGATTTGACATTTGACCTTTAATGACCTTCTCAAGGTCAAAAAAGGTCTGTTTTCAACTTGCTTCAAATTGACAAATTTTTTTTCAGAAGTTCAAATTTGACTTTACAAGTTCTCAGAAATTCAAACCTGACTTAAGTTTGAACTCATAATATTGTGAGCAACTAGGTGGTGACATTTTGTCATGTTAATGCCTTGTTTAAGATTGGCAACACCCACTTTTATCTAAATTGTCCTTATTTTACCAGAAGTGGTGACATATTGTTAAAGTCTCCAACTTTTTGGCATCTGGTGCTCTACAATTGGTCGTTGATATTCGGCAAAATTGGCATCTGAAACAAATGGGAAAAAACAAGTGATATGTTGCAGTCAGTGTTACTGCATTTCAATATTACTCAGAATAATGCAAGCTTTTTTTATATCAATTCCACTCAAAAAATTTGATGAAGTTTTTCTTTCACCTTTGTTTTCAGAACTTTGCCAGCAGGGCTGTTTTGGAGGCTGTCGGATCCTGTCTGTCAAATAAATATGCTGAAGGCTACCCAGGTGCTAGGTAAGCATGATATTCACAAGGCTTTACACTAGAGTGTAGGACCTCACCTTATTTGGCCTGCTCTTAGCCTACATGTATTTTGTATCAATAAAAAAAGGTGTAACAAGACAGACAAAGTAATCACTTCTCCCAGATTTGCCAAAAACATTTCAACCATACCTATCTTTCTGACAAATTATGAATGGAGTCCATTTCTAGGGTATGTCTCCTTTTGATGGGATTTGCTACACTTACTGTGACAATGCCATATTTTTAAGTTTTCCCTGTATATCAGTACTTTCATTTCTTGACACTGAATGGTTGACCTTTGCAAAAATATTGAAAAGGCTTGATTAGTTTATATACAAGTTAAGTAAATAAGTTGTACATTTGTATTTTCAGATATTATGGTGGTAATGAGGTCATAGACAAGATTGAGACATTGTGTATTCAGAGGGCTTTGGAAACCTTCAATCTCGATCCAGAGAAATGGGGTGTAAATGTGCAGCCCTATTCTGGCAGTCCAGCTAACTTTGAGACATATACTGCTTTACTGAACCCACATGATAGGATCATGGGACTTGACCTCCCAGATGGAGGACAGTAAGTTAACATCTTTGGGGGTATAGAAAACATTTTGCCTAGCCCTGCGGGGTGTATTCGACAATATTACCCCTGCTCTTTGGTGTATATTTCTTAAGTAATAAGATGCTCTCCTATGTTTACCAAGCTTTTTCTGTATTATAGAAGTAATAATGTATTGTGCAGTGAGATTGGTTGCGTAGAGTCAGAACTTCTAGGATACAAATTCACTATTAGACCAAGATTAGAAAAGGTTCAGTTGATATCATGTATAACATTATGGAAGAAAATGTCTGGTGATTTGAAAGCTATCCAATCTAGAAATCGAGCACATCATACATAGAAGTTAAATTTTAATATCTCTACCAGAGGTTCTAAATCAATACATGTTGTATGCATCAATTCAATCTTATTTCAGTTTAACACATGGCTTTATGACTGATACAAAGAGAGTATCTGCTACTTCCATATACTTCGAATCCATGCCTTACAGACTCAATGTAAGTTCTATGGAAATCACAGATGTTATATTTTTATATGTATGTTCAACGAATTGATCCATACTAATCATGTGGGATACGGTTGTCATGACAATGCCCTGATTTTGATCATTATTGAATAGCCTTTGGGTAATTCATTCAGATTCCAGGAAAATTTAGCCAGTGAGAAATGTAAATACTTTTCTTGCAAATTATATATTTTTTATCTTAAAGACATGTTCCAGCCTTCAGTTTGCTATGTTTTCTGTTGCAGCCAAGCACAGGGTACATAGACTATGATAAGATGGAGGAATCCGCTAAACTATTTAGGCCAAAGATGATGATAGCTGGTACCAGTGCATACTCAAGACCTTTGGACTATGCAAGGTTCAGGAAAGTAAGTATCTTGTATATCATTTTAGGTAAGGTTCTCAACCAGGTAGACCAGGGTCCAGGACTTTTAAAATTGGGACTTACATAATGGGAGCATATTGAAATCAAATGGGCTCTGTAGCCACTTAAAAGAGAGGCTTGCACACACCAGAAATTCATTTTCTCCCATCTTATAGTGTCTTAGACCATAATTTTCTAAATTGTAATGCTTCTTTCCCAGACAGCTGAGGTGGTAGAGCATTAACCTCAGGTTCTTTGGTCCTGAATTCAATGGTATCAATACAAGTTCAGATGATTGATATATGGCCACCTTTGGTACCCCTTAAGTGTTCAACTTCTTGAGACTCATTTAACATTATGTCAGTTGGTCTTCGGACTCTGAAAAGTGTTCCACTAACGGAGGTGTTCCACTTCTAGAGTTGTTCCACTTTACAGGTTTCACTGTACTTACAATATGTGTTTTCCTCAAGGTATGTGATGATATAAAGGCTGTATTACTAGCAGATATGGCACATATATCTGGTCTTGTTGCTGCTGGAGTCATGCCTGGACCATTTGAATATGCAGATGTTGTAACCACCACAACCCATAAGTCACTCAGGGGTCCCAGGTACCAGACTTATACAAAATATTGAAAATAAATACTGTGTGTAACTATAACTGCTGTATATTTGTAATGGGGGTGTGGGTGGATTATCATACCCCTCATATCATATACATCATTGCCTCATAACATGTTGCAGAATTACATGAATTTTACATTAAGATTGATATTTCACTTGAAAAATGTAATATACCCAAAATGAGGGACAATTTTACAATATGACAATTTTAGTATATACACTGTAATATAGTTAAAGGAATATTCCTTGCCAAACCATCTCTCTCCTCATATGGAGGCTATAACTATATATATGCTTGCCATGTTTAGCAAAACACGCAAAAATGTTTTGATATGGTCAAATTTGATCACTTAGAAATGTGATGCTCAATTCCAGTAAGCTGCCATCTTTTAAAATTTCACATAGGAAGTGATGTCATTGACTCTCAACTTTGCATATAGCATTAGGTGAGGAGCTATTAAGAATTACAAAACCAGCTAAATATTCTTTTTCAACTCTGTATCTTATTTAATCCTTCTGAAAATTTCTTCTTTTATTCTAAGTGGACAAGCCCTGAAAATATTTTTGCACAGAAAGTAGTGATCACTTGTCTAGAAGTGATTTTGTGCTACTTTCCTATACTGTTATGGGCAAGGTTATAGAAGTTGAGAGTTGATGACATCACTTCCTGCAAGAAATATTAAAAGATGGCAGCTCACTGGAAATAAGCACTAGATTTTTAAATGATCAATATTGACCATATTAAAACATTTTCCCATGTTTTGCTAAATATGGAAACTATATATATGATTATAGCTACCATATCAAGAGAGAAAGGGTCTGGCAAGGAATATTCCTTTAAGTATGATCCGAATGAAATATGATTTCAGAAAAATCCTCATTATTTTATTTTCAGGTCAGGGATGATCTTCTTCAGAAAAGGAGTGAAGGAGATCAATAAGAAGACTGGGAAGGAAGTTATGTATGATTATGAGAAGAGAATCAACAATGCTGTATTTCCAGCTCTACAAGGTGGGCCACATGAGAACCAGATAGGTGCCTTGGCTGTTGCACTTAGACAGGTAAATAAAAATGGATTATATGTTTTTTTCAATATACAATTTCAGTAAATACAAAATTGATAAAAATGTCTGCATTTTCAATCAGATTGATTTGAAATTTTCAGTTTTTGGACATTCAGGATGAAAATCTAGATCCTATTGATATGGACAAGTTGCACAGATTTGTCTCATAAATACACCCACTTTGAGCAGAGTTGACCAGTTATGCTTATTGTATCAGTAAAAGCCAGTAAAACGGCTGTTAACAGTTCATTAGGGTGGAATCGGAGATAGATAGTTTGACCCAACCCCATATCTCTCCAAAATAAATAGTCAATGAATTAAACATGTTGCACAACATATGATTGCAGGCAAAAAGTCCTGAGTTCAAGGAGTACCAGTTGCAGGTTTTGAAGAATGCTGATGTTCTCGCCAAGGCACTTGTCAGTAAAGGCTACAGTATTGTCTCAGGTAAAGGAAAAATGTGCCCCATAATAAATGAACTGTTCAACATTAAGTCTTGTTTCAATATTTTCATACAAACCAATAAGTAAAATTGATTGGGTGAAACTTTCTTGTTCTACAATATAAATTTTAAATGAACAAAAGCTTATTAAACCCCCTAATCATATGGATTAATGTATTGACATTGATTCCAATTGAACATGCTGTAGCAATTATATATATGTATTATACATTATGTTCTGTGGCTTTTTAGGGGGTACACAAAACCATCTTTGTCTGCTTGATCTCAGACCTCAAGGAACAGATGGTGCAAGAATGGAAAGAATGTGTGAACTTTGCTCAATCACAGTCAACAAAAACACTTGTCCTGGTGACAAAAGTGCAATGAAGCCAGGAGGCCTGCGATTAGGTAAATATATTCTGTATTTCCTTTATTCAAAGCCTCTGAGCCAGTTTGGGTCTGGATTGGCTTATTATCAGCTCACAGTCACCATTTTAGTGTCAATTTTACAGTATTTTAGGAACAACATATAAAACTGTAATATTATATTAATATGACATTGTTTTTAAATGCAAAAAGTTATATATAGATTAAGTTGAAAATCTGAAAATTGTGTCCATCTTAAAAAATGGTGGTTGTTACATCCTATTTTATGATTTTTGCTTTAACTGGAAAGGAGTGGTGCAATTTTATTCATATTTGATATGTGAATACTCATAAGCATGGCACATTGTCTTATGACACTTTGACTAGTAGGTGGGCCATTTTGAAAAAAATTACCTTTTTTACTTTGACTCACAAACTACAGTAGAACCTGCTAAGTGGAACATCTCCGTAAGTGGAACACCTCGCAAGTGGAACGCTTTTTCAAAGTCCCGTTTTAAAAACCCATTGACTTAATGTTAATTGAACCTCTGTAAGTGGAACACCTCCAAACTTGAACAGTGAACACCCCATATTGAAAAATTAACCTGCTAAGTGGAACAGTCAATTTTCCATAAATTTCAATAGTGATACTTATGTAAACAAAATTAACCTCCAACAGTGATACCTGGGTATGAAAACAGGTAATAACGTGATAATTGGCAAATTAGGATTTTAATGGATTAGCATTAGCATATGGTCAATTGGATTAACCTCCTGTAGAGATCAACATGTGATGCTACCACTAATTAATTTGATAATTAGCAAATTTTAATTTCATAAGATTATCATTCAGCAAATTGGATTAAGAGATTGACATGTGATGCTCTTGCCTCTTAGACTCTTGCTGTTTGTTTCATACTTAATAAGTAAGCTTAAGAATGTCAGTTAAAAAAACAAATGAATTATTAGCATTAGGAACAAGTCTTTAAAACTTAATTGCCTTATCTTAGTGTCTGAGACTGGCAGAATGAGGAGGATTGAGAATGTCAGAAAACATTTTTGGTAGAATGAGGAGGATTAAGAATGTCAGATACCTTTTTGAGTAAAACAAATGGATAATTAAGGCTTTATAGCTGCCCTGCAATGATCGGAGAATCTTATATTCAGTGATAGATATCAACTCTATATTTAATCCTGTATGTTCGTTAAATCCCCGCGAGCCCAAAACCTCCGTAAGTGGAACACCTCCTAAGTGGAACGCTTTTTGGCAGAACGGAGGGTGTTCCATTTACACAGGTTCTACTGTACACTTTTCCCATGACAATTTGAAAAAATTATTGAGGGATTTTGTAAAAATGGCAGCCAATTGGCTGTTAGATGGAAATTGCTTTGGCTTGGCATTGTTGTTATCTTGTTAACATTTTGTACCAGTTTTGAGATATAAGAGCTCAAAAACTGAAAAAATCAAGTTTCCAAATATTTCAAGGTCAAATTTCAACTTGCTTCAAATTGCAATCTGATTGCTTGCAATCTTGATTTCTAGTTATCACTCATTATCTGTTTTTGTTGGCAGTCAGGGATCTGTAACATTTGATACAATTTTGGAACCATTTGCAGGTGGTGGCATTTTGTCATGTTATTAATTTATTGATACATGTCATAATTTAGTATTTGTAATCTACTTCAAAGAGGTGTCCGTTCATATCCCCTACTAGAAGATTGCCCTGATGACCTATAGTCACTGCCATAGGTCCAGCCAGTCCATCACCCCTAGTGAGGAGATGTTGTAAGAAGTTCCCATCTGAGCTGATTAAACTGACTCTATGATTCCAATAGTCAGCTACTATGATGTGCTCCCCATCAGAACACACTCCATGTGGAGAGTGTAACTGTCCTTCTTCTGATCCAATAGTACCATACTGCAGCAGCTTCTTACCCTGTCTGCTCACCACTGTGATACAGTCTCTACCCATATCGGACACAATCACATTGTTGTTGTTACTTACTGCAATGTAATGAGGCCAATCAAACAATTCTGTATCTGATGTTGTATGCAGCTTTTCGCCAGTTTGATAGTTTATGTGTGATATAGTCTTAGTATATGTGTCGCTAACAACTAACTCACCATCACTATTACATGCAATACCACTTAGATTAGTGAATGGTGTGGTGATGTCTTTGATGTGCTGACCATCTTGAGCGTAGATGCAAATAACTCCATTACCATCACCATCACCATCGTCACTACCACTTATAAATGCTAGACAGTTATCAGGTGTAAGTGTGACACATCTCATAGCCTTCTCTATTGTCTTGATCAGATGCAAGTCAAATTTGATTTGTACACATTTCTCTCTTACAAATACTAACCACCGTGCATCTACAGCTACTACATCATGAATGTAATTTAACAAATAAGATGCTTTAGATTGTTTTAAACTAGTCTTCCTGAATTTTGGTTTTTTTACGTTCAATGACACAGGAATCCTCTGTGTAGAATAAGAACCAGTAGAAACCTGACCAACCATTCTACTCTTGTTATATCCTGTATCCTGGTGACTTGTGACATTTTGGTGATCTCCCATCTTTGAATATCTTGTTGCAGATTGACTTTCAGTGTCGCTCTGACCAAGAAATGTGGGCTTGATTCTCTCAACTTCTTTAGTTAGAGCTGATCTGTGTTCATGAGCATCATCAGTAATTGGGGTCAAGATATTAGATTGATTTAGAACATTGATGTCACCCTGGGGACTCTCAGTACTGAATGGGCTTTGGACACTCATTTCACTAAGTGCACTTGGTGGATTTCCATAATTCAATCGGCTTTGAACACTCATAGCACCCTCAACACTTGGCGGGTTTCCATATCCTATTATCCAAAATTCATTTTGTCTTTCAGGAAATCCTAGAGAAATAGATCAAGAGGATGGTGTAAATAAAGAAGGTTGAGCAATATATGGTGTTTTGCTTTGTAACACATTCTACGTTTTGATTATAGTGAGTTTGGGTTTAAGGTACATAGAAAAAATAAATGTGAAGGATGGTCAAAACTGTTAGCTATAATAAGTGTTCTATATCTGTTGATTCTGAATTGTATCATATTTTTATTTATAATCAATGATAGTGGAAAACTGATAAACAGCATAATTTGAAAAGTTATTATTATTTATCAAATATTATTATTATTTATTTAAAAGATTCATAAAAAGTGTTTTTTGAAAATAATGTATAATGTGTTTTACAACACATAGTGCTGTATTTGATCATCTAAATTGTATAACTTTTGATGTTAAATGGCAGGAAATTCAAATATGTAAAAAAATTAAAAAACAAGAGGAACAACCTTTTTTTCTAAAGTCAACTTTTTTGAAGAAATGACTCACAATAATATTTGGATGCTTAATAAACAATAATGTCAAACTTGGCGTGGGGCCTTTAAGGCTAAGAATCTTATTTTTTATACCCAGTGGAAAACATTTTTTGACTTGTATACTCAGAATTTAATTATTATATAAGCCAATGCGTAAAATATAATATAAGGTATGTGATCATTTTGGATGTTTCTGGCTAAGAGGCTTTTTCTTAGGAGGTAGTATGATGTAAGCACTGATTATCTACCTACCTAGTTTAGTCTTGACATACTCCTCCACTTTTCTAGCAAGATCTTGTCTTTTTGCTTCCCTCAAGGCTTTCCATAACATCTCTGCCAGTGGTGCACCAGGTTGTTGCTTCTTCTTCCACTTTGTGAGCATTTCATAGCCCCATGTACTGGCATCCAGTTGATGTGTCTTTTGGACACTGACCAGTTCATCATCTGTGAAACCAAGGTGGATCCCAATTGATTTAAACTGCTTTCCCATCTGTTGACCAATTTCTAGAAGTAGGGCAGTGTGGTACCTATCTGCAATAAAAGTGTTTTTGTCACACAGTGTTTTGGACTTCATGAAAAAGAATAAGGCTGATACTAAGATAAACTGATGTAATACATTTCAGGTATAGCTGGTTTCCAAAAGTCAACAGTTGTTGATAACTTTGTAAAAGGGGGGGGGGGGCAATTGGTGATTTGAAAGTGAGAGAATTTTTATCCCCCGAAACATTTAAATAGAGGTTATATCATCTTGGATGAATACAGAATACTCTAATTAAAAAAGGAAATTATCCTATATCAAGAGACAATAGAACTGAGTGATGTAAAAAGGTAAAAAAGAAATGAAATCTTCAGTACTGTCTCACTTGTATTAGACTGTTCACATTCTGTCACCATCCCAGCTAGGTCATTTCTATTTGCTTTTTCTAGTGCTTTGCATAATTTCTCTGCCAGTGGTGCATCAGATTCTTGCTCCTTCTTCCACTTTGTGAGCATTTCATAGCCCCATGTACTGGCATCCAGTTGATGTGTCTTTTGGATGTTCTTCAGTTCATCATCTGTGAAACTAAGGTGGAGCCCAATTGCAGTAAACTCGTTTCCCATTTGTGGACCAATTTTCAGAAACAAATGTGTATAATACTCATCGGTATCTATCTGGTCACCAGTTCTTACATCACTTTCCATTGTAAGAGATCTTTTTGCTTGTCTAGTTTATGTTGTACATTGTCGAGCCACTTCAGTAATAGAATATGTTACTCCATCTCATTGATTGAGTGATTACTTTATTGGTATAGTCCTCACCATCATGTTAATTCTGTCAAGAGAATGGTCATATTTGTTATCTTAATTGCATAGATGTTACTGTTCATATTTTTACTTACTAAGTATGCATCTCAAATCAAAAGAAATTAATGATACTGACAGTACCTCAGAGAGTAAATGACAGCCATCACACTGTATGAAAATTAGCGTAACCCAGCAAAGTGAGCAATTTGGATGGAATTCAGAGAGAGATTCAGTAAAGGATTGGTATCGATATGGAGAATTAAATTCAACAAAGTTTTTCTCTTAAACCAATTATTGAAAACATTCTGTAAAAAACATGGTCCTTTATGTAATGTTGATTGATTGACAACAATTTAATGCGAAAATAATTTATATATATTTTATATAACTGTTTTTGTTAACATTGTTTGTTTTTAGTGCAATTTATTGTTTTTTGTTCCTTTTTACCATTTCTTGAGAATGAAATAAAATATCTTTCCGAAGCTTGATAGGACAAAATAGCATATACAACATTTTCTTAGACTTCCCAAAATTATAGTTGTACAAAGGAAATTTTGGTTGATTTAACAAAAAGTATTCAAAAAATTAAAACAAAAACCAACGAAATAGATAAAAACTAAGATAAACCTTTAATTTCATTAACGAGATACTTTTTTTAAATCAACCAAACTTTCCTTTGTATAATTACAAAATTGAGAGACATAAACATGTTGTGTTTATGTCATTTTGTTTCAAGGAGGTTTGGATAGATGTTTCATTTCATTTTGAACATATGAACAATATAGAGAACAATATAGAGAAAAGTATATATATCTACAGGGTGTCAAATAAGTCTGTTCTCCCCCCTTAACTTTTTTATCTTTAAATTTATCATACTTTCCCATATATCATTTTGAAGCTCATTGAAAATGCTGATCACCCTCAAAAAATCAAACATAAACTCCTCCTAATAAAATTGCTACAATGTTTCTTGTAAGGTTGTAGTTGACCTTTGATTACGTCAAAACAAGTAAAATTACCAGGTAATAGTGAATGAAAAGTGAAAAGTTGATACTGCAGTGACAATGCCAACATTGGGTGATTTCGATGTTTCCCAATATCGTTACAGAGTAAAATTTGTTACATTCAGGGGAGCCTTTGAAGCAGGGGAATCTTTCATCACAAAATAGTTGATAACACCTAGAATCAAACGTTCTGAATGATTTATACGGGATCTTATCCTCGTAGAACTGAGGCCATCTGGGCTGCTGGGGGAGACATGAAGACTATTAAAAAAGTGAAATATGGACATTACTAAAAATACTCTAAAAAATTTGGAATTTAACCAATCACTCTGAGATTTGGTGTGTGATCAGCAAATTAAATTCCCTTTAAGATGATATATACCAACCCTATGTTATCTCTGAATTAAAAAAGTTAAGGGGGGAGAACAGACTTATTTGACACCCTGTATTTCAAATTATATTGTTACCATTCAAAAGATGGCCATTAAATTGACAATGTGTAAAATTTTCAGAATGTTTTGATGACTGGTTTAAGAGAAACGTGTGTTCAAAAAGTTCGCCATATCGATACCCATCCTTTAAATATTTTTGTAATATATGAATTTTCACAAAATTATCCAAATACTGAAGTACAAATGAGGTCATTCGAGACCAAAATCAAGCCAATCATATTAGTATTAAGTATTTTCCTAGTTAATCATGATAAATATTCAAATGTAAATCATTAGACCCATTAAATTATAAATTGTAGTAACCATAGCAGCTGAACTATGTGAGCTGAAAATAACAGAATTTAAGACATACCGTATTTGCTAATTTTTAGACAGTTTTTTTTCCTTTGACTGAACAATGTGTGCTAAAAAAATTTAAACACAGAAGAACATTCGTAATGTTTTTGAAAAGCAGCTATACGGTTCAAAGTCAAACATTTTCAAGTACACATTATTTACGAGTTTTGTTAAAAATTAAACCTACACACATTATGCTTAACATGGATGAAACCCCCACACAAAATTGGTTGTTGTCCTGTTCGAGGGATATAGAGAACATCTCTGTCCATCCGTCCATTCCGTCAACATTGGCTGCACAAATTAAAATTGCTATTCGTATTGAGTCATATTCACAATATTCACATTGATTTTTTTTGTATATCCATTGTGTCTATTTGACCTGTCAATGCCATTTCCAAAGATAGCCCGGTTTCCAAGAAATTGCCAATTTTGAGTAACTAACTCAGTAACTTAGTACCTACTGAAGTTTAAGTCTGACTAACTTAAGGACTTAGCTTGTATTCGCGAATGCAAATGACGGCTACCAGCTATCGGGTTGATTGCAATTTGAGGGAAAACTCATTTAAATATGAATAGTACCTGCCTTGCTTCCCGTTAGCTACCATCTCTCACTTTACACCCGGTCGCTGGCCTAAATAACGGGTTAATTTGCCTATTTAGCAGCATGTAACAATGACCTGTGTTCTGTTTGCCAATTCGACAGTTTTATTATAATCGGTCATTTCATCCACAACATCCGCAACTGACGGGTTGTTTGTAATTACAACTTCAAAATGACGGTTTAATCTTTGAAAATTAATAGGTTACTAGTAATCCGGTAGCTGCTAGCCGCTATTTGCATTCGCGAATGCAAGCTAAGTAACTAATAGTTTTTTTCTGGATAAAGTTAATCATTTCCAAACATTATCCGGTTACAATTCACTGTGTGAGCACAGGGCTATGGGTCCTTTATATCAGCATGTATTTGGAATACTAATCTAGTATCATGAAAACTGGTCTATAATTCAATTTTCATCAATAGTACAGTCACAATGAAGCACCTGTGAAAAATATTAACGTGATCAGGGAATGGCACAGAGGTAGCAATTCGCTTATTCTGAAAAGATTGCCAGTTTGTATATCCAATTATAGATAATTATAGTGCTCTTTTTCTCATTGTAACAACATTTCGTCCCATTATTTCCACATTGTTACAATTGCATTTTTGCTGATATTGAGAAATCAGAGGTTGAAGTTTGGGTCATCATAACTTTTGAGTCAGAATTTTTTAAAAAATTATTTTTTGGTGGTAATCATGTGTATATGTAGGCCTTGCAGAGCAAAAATCACTGATTAACAATAAATAAAACACATCTTTTTTATGGTTTCTTGTTTTTGAAATATCAAAATAATCCTGAAAACGGAATTTTTATTCACTTCCATTTTATTATTGTCTCATATACCATTATTCTGCCCATCTAATTATAAAGAATATGACTTGTGTTCCATTTTGACTGACAGGTACAGGACTGGATAATCTTGTTTTTTTTTGCTTGAATGCTGATTTTCAAAATGGCCGCTCATTTAAAAATGGCGGCCATTTTATTGCCGATTTTACAGTAATTTAGGTGCAATATGTAAAACTGTATTAGCAATATGCTTTAAATGTAAAAAAATTATTCTGGGTAAATTTTAAGGTGGCCATTTTGGATTTTCCGTCCTCAAATTGTGTCGGTAAAGTCTTGTCTACTCATTTTCAGGATAACCATTTGACGGGATCACCCATTGGTGGGGACGTTTTGTACACATTTGTGTTCTTGTTTTAACCTTTCTTTTGAAACAGGGCTTTTATCGGTTAGCCAACGGCAAGGGGTCATCTGCATGATAGAAAAATAGAAAAAAGACATATCGCTGATAAAAAATTGGAGCCCCATCTCCCTTTTTCTGTCGCTGGCAAGTGAAATCGGTTTCAAGAGTTTTAGATTTAAAAAGTTATGACAACCTTTATCATTTTTTCACGTTTTTGTAAATGTAAACAAAGGAGGTTGGGACCCTAAGGCTTTTTCATTATTCTATCGACAGAGATGTGTTTGGTGTCTATAGAGAGTAGAATCAATTCCCTAGAGCATGTGCTATACAGTATCGCCGTGCGAACTTGCTGTGCCGTAGGACATAGTCACCATTTTTCATGAAATGGTATGATTTATTCCGTATTAATGTCAACAAAACCATTAATACGGAACGGTGTAAACAGGACCGTGATATGCACTCTCCATTGGGATCTCCCCAGGAGAAAAAAATAATTCATCTGACCTATATTCAGCACTGTATTGATGTATAGGCCACTTATTAGGGTCATTATTCAATCATTTTTTTTTATTTTATTTTTTTATCAATTCATTTATTAATTCTTCATACATAACACAGCAAATCCTACAAAGAAAAGCTAGACAAGGCAGGAGGATCTTTTGATATGCAATCTATGTAAATAATTATGTTGAATTATATAGAAATAAATAACAATAACCTATAAAAAAAAAATATGCCTAAAATGAGAATTGTTGAATGAAGTTGATTTGAATCAATTACTCAACACCACTGGATTTCCAGATGATAGAGTCCTATATGATTGTCACAGTCTCAAAAACCTAGTCATTTAAACAAAAATCATTTGCATCCCTTAATTCATATTGCTTGTTTCTTGTCATGAATTTGAAGTTTTGGCACATATTGTTTGTTGTTTATTCTAGAATTTTTCCATTATTTGTTCCTCTCCATCACAAAATCATAGGCATCCGAATCATACATATGATCCACTCCCAATCCATCAATGAGGCGCAAATATCTTTCCCTACATGTTGCGAGGTTGAAGTTGGTAATCGCTGCTACATCATATGTTGAGATAGAATCAGTGTTTGTGAGTTTGGAATATTCTTCATTTTCGCATTGTTATGTCCCCACCACATAGTGTGGGGCCATATTGTCAGCCTAGGCGCGTCCGTCCGTCCGTCCGTCTGTCTGTCTGTTTGTCTGTCTGTCCGTCTGTACGTCCGGCAGTTTTCTCCTAAACCGCTACAGATATCACCTTCAAATTTTCAGGGATAACTTATGAGTGCATACAGATGTGGACAAAAAAGTTTCAACTCGATACCTACTTCCTGTCAGCCATTTTGAAGTCAAATGCTAAAATCCTTGTCTGCAAACTTTAAGAAAAATGGCTTCACTGTTGCTTTTAAAACTTTAATATCCTGTTCAACTCACTTGATTCTAGATCTGATTAGGTTTTGGACCTGTTAGCCCAGTCATGGCAGCCATTTTGAATGTCTTAAGAAAAGTTAGCGTGCGATAATACTTTGTATCATATTGAATGGTGTTTTTGAGTTTTCATACTTAGACTATTTAGTAGCTTTATAAAAAATTTCAGGTGTACTTTATTGTAAAAGCCTATGTTATTGTTAACAGTAGTTATATGTGCTAATTTTGTAAAAAGAAATCAGCAAAAACTTATAATCACTTTTTTATTGTCGGCCATTTTGGATTTTTCCATCCTAAAATCTTGTCTGTAAAGTCTTGTCTATGCGTTTTCAGGCGAACCATTTGGTAGATCATTTCCAAATTTTCAGGGATGTTTCTTAGTATGAAAATCTAGATCTGATTAGTTTTTTGGCATTCTGGGTAAATGTAAAGGCAGCCATTTTGGATTTTCCGTCCTAAAATCTTGTCTGTGAAGTCTTGTCTATGCATTTCCAGGTGAAGCATTTGGTAGATCAATTTCAAATTTTCAGGGATGATTCTTAGTATGAAAATCTAGATCTTATAAGTTTTTTGGCATTCTGGGTAAATGTAAAGGCAGCCATTTTGGATTTTCCGTCCTAAAATCTTGTCTGTAAAGTCTTGTCTACGCGTTTTCAGGTGAACCATTTAGTAGATCAATTTAAAATTTTCAGGGATTATTCTTAGTATGAAAATCTAGATCTGATTAGTTTTTTGGCATTCTGGGTAAATGTCAAGGCAGCCATTTTGGATTGTCCGTCCTAAAATCTTGTCTGTAAAGTCTTGTCTACGCGTTTTCAGGTGAAGGGTTTGGTAGATCAATTTCAAATTTTTAGGGATGATTCTTAGTATGAAAATCTAGATCTGATTAGTTTTTTGGCATTCTGGGTAAATGTCAAGGCAGCCATTTTAGATTTTCCGTGCTAAAATCTTGCCTGTAAAGTCTTGTCTACGTGTTTTCAGGTGAACTGTTTGGTAGATCAATTTCAAATTTTTAGGGATGATTCTTAGTATGAAAATCTAGAACTGACTAATTTTTTGGGCATTCTTGGTAAATTTTAAGGTGGCCATTTTGCATTTTCCGTTCCAAAATTGTAGCAGTAAAGTCTTGTCTACTCATTTTCAGGATAACCATTAGATGGGATCACCCATTGGTGGGGACATATTGTACACATTTGTGTTCTTGTGTTGATTTGTTGTCGGATTGTTTCTTGATGTTGACACTGCAACCTCTGTGTTTTTTATCCAAATTGTTTGTTTTAGTGGCGACATGTTGCACTTTTATTTCAGTTGCACTTGATCGGTGTCTTTTTTGTTTCACATCTGTTTGCATCCTAACATTCACTTTTTTTTTATTCTGTCTCTAGGATTCCGCAATTGCAATATTGAAATAAATCTACTGTCGAAGTCACCTTTTTTTGCTCTGTCAGTTTCATTGTTATTGTTTACAATTTCACTGTTTCCATTAGTTCTGTTTTTAAACAAGTCTCTATTTAGTACAGGCGTAACAGATGTTGACTGTTCATATAATCCTAATTCATTTTGTTCATGGTGTTTAGGTTCACTCAATAGTTTTTGTTAGAATTGTAATCCCTTATCCTATTAGCATCTCTCATAAGTCTACTTGGTGACTTGGTACTGGTTTGTGACCTTGGGTTGCCAAAATGGTGTGCTTTATATTCCAATGTAATAGTAGTTCCATTGTTTGTTGAATTTATCTTGTATCCTCCTAGAATGCACCCTTCGTCTTGTAACTCACTAATCAGATGCTCAACAATCTTGGGAATCATTGTTTCTTTTTATTTTCTGCAATGTTCAATATTATGTCACTGATTTTTACCTTTTTTCACAAGCACTTTTTTCTCCTGTTTCTTTGTTGCTTGACCTTTTCGTAATCATAATTTCGTAATATAATTCAATCATGAAGTGTAGAGGCATAGATTCCAAACCAGGAAGTATTTTTATTTAAAATCCATTTGCATCCTACGCATCCCTACATCTTATCCAAATATGTTACTACATTATGAAATAAATTGGTATATTCTTTGGTTTTACAGAGTTGTATGATTTTTGATAAGTGTAAAAGTTGCTTTTGGAGCATTTTTCTATAGCCATTTTGTAGGGAAAAAATGATGAAAAAATGTACAATCTTTTAATTTTAAGTATGACCTGAATCGATTGCAAACTTCATAATTGCACATTTGATGAGATAAACCATTTGTGTCATATTGTGAAATTATAAAGTTTGCAATTGATTCAGGTTAAAGTGTATTTTTGGTATTTTTGTGATAATCAATGGAAACCAATGGCCTCTATTGGGATCTGCTGATATCCTCATGTTAAGTCAATGATGCACAGCCCATTGTAAGTCAATTCAACCTTACTGAACTAAATGGCCCCTATCTCAGCCAATGTGTGCCAAAGCACTTTAATACTTTTCAAAGAATTTTATGACATTCTATTCTTCATGCTACACCTAAGAATGATTCATTTTGACCATAGGGGTATTTGCCAAAAAAACACACATCTTCCTTTGAATCAAGCAAATTCATATTTTGTAAGTACGTATTAACTGTGTTTTAGGTGCCCCTGCTCTAACATCAAGAGGTTTCAAGGAGGCAGAGTTTGAGAAGGTGGCTGACTACTTAGACAGGGCTGTCAAGTTAACACTAGAGGCTCAAAGCAAATCAGGTATATCAGCTGTGAATCAATATTTCAGAATGATATCTACATCCCCCAAAAATGATAGCAACTTACACTATCAATGGGAAAATGTTCTTTATTCAATGTTTCAGAAATGTCTTGTAACGTTTGATATTTTTACTTACAGAAATAAAAGTTTGTATTGTCAGCTCAAACAGTTCCCAAAATTGTCCCTCTTTAACCATCTTATATTTTTTGTGAATCTTGAAAAATTGAATGGAAACGATAGCCTATTCTAAGAAAATTACTTTTCACATTTTGCACTTCATTCGTAGTTATACAAATCACATTTTGTATCGTTATATTTTTTATGTTCCAGGAACTTTAAAAGAATTCAAGGCTGTTGTGTTAGAAGATGCTGAGTTGAAAGGGAAAATGGCTGAACTCTCAAAAGATGTCTCAGAATTTGCTAGTAAATTCCCCATGCCTGGTTTTGATGAAATATGAACCACGTCTGCTTGGATTTGATGATATGTAAAATTCACATTTTAATTTTGGAGCAGTTTAAGGAAAGGGTAGAAAACTGGAATATGAATCTTCAAATGGGATTTTGTGTAAATTGTGCCTGATACCCATGAATGTGAACATATATTAGTCAGCAATTAATAAACTGCAAATAAAACGATATTAGATGGACTGATCTCCAAACATATCTATGAATACATCATGTTGTTCTTTTTCCATTTGGCTAAATAAGGAAGAGGAGCAAAAACCAAAATCATGAACATTTTTGACAAATGCTCAATATGCATACAAGTATACATGTGTAAATGTATCCATTTGTAAAGAGCAATCAGCATTAGTGACCGATGAAATATGCATTGAATGAATCTCCATATCAAGATAAAAGCATTATCGTACAATTGTTATTTTAATGTATATGGGTTATTAAGAAATAAAATTGTCCAACATGTCGCTACTGTCAATACATGTGATATGGACTTCATGTAAGAAATGTATAGATTAAGTTGAATGAAATTGTCGACTTCTTCAGTGTTTGAGTATTGATAATGAACAATTGCATAGGAATTTTAATTGTCTATTCTGAATCCTTTTTGTAAATAATGATAATTGATTGGCCCTTTAATTTTATGATTTGAAAGTAAACTGTTCATACATGTCTAGTTTTCCCAGGGATCCATATTTGGTGCCACATTTATGAATCCTTGAAAAGCCATTATAACAACTGCAGAGATGTAAGTTGCAATGATCCTAAAAACAAACAAAACAAACCCCAGAATCAAATTAAAGGCCCAAAGCAGGTACATTGGCTATTATTTATATGATTTGGACTAGACAGTTAAAATAAAAAAATTCTGGATCCAAGTGATATTTTTATTTTATAATATTTGGTGGAGGCGGAACCAACGGGAAAGCAAGCTGGAGAGAAGTGTAAGTTCAAAAATCAAAACATATTGATGTATTAATATTTGATTTATTTTTATATAATTCTATTATGTATACAGGCTAATGCTTATATAATGTGGTACATAGTCATACACCATAGTGTATAGTCATACACCATAGTGTATAGTCATGCACCATAGTGTATAGTCATACACCATAGTGTATAGTCATGCACCATAGTGTATAGTCATGCACCATAGTGTATAGTCCTACACCATAGTGTATAGTCATGCACCATATTTTTTTCTCCCAGTTTATTTTTATTACATGTTCCAGTAATGGTCAATCAGTAACTGAGACATGCTATGTTGAATCTGTCTGTTGAATCTGTTAATGCAAAATTGTACTAACAAATAAATCTATATTATATAGTAAATATTTCATATCAATGTTTTATTTCATTTCTTGAATTATACAATATAGAGTAAGAATAAGAAAACGACAATTAAATCCTTCTTAAAATACACCAAGATTGTATTGGTAATTATGCACATTATATATCAAATTGTGCTGTAAATTTTTACAGTAGAATGAAATAATCAAACTACATGTTCACAAAATAACCCCATAGCCAATACAATATCAGTACAATATTCATTAATAATCCAACTTGTCTCTCTATCCCTTTTTCTCACAAAAGTGATCTTGTTAAAATTCACGCACGTTTACTTTCTACATGATGAACAGGATATAAAAATAAACAGTTTTGCTTACCCTCAATTAATGGCAAATAGATGACTCAAAAACTATGTTCAACGCATGACACATAGGTATCATGTATGTCATGACACACTTAATTAATCTTCCAGAATATAATTATATCGGAGTATATGAATACCAGTGCGCTATAGTCTACTACTGAATTCTAGTTAACAAAAAAATATTTGGTATGTGGTCACAACTCATCCTTGCAAACATGCAATATATAGTTTACTAGTTACAATACATAAAATATCTCATTTAAATTTTTGAATCAAAATATATTTATTTACATAACCTAAGTTGGTCATGGTATAATAAACTTACAATCCACATGAACTACAGAGGTGTTGACTACGTAATGTGATGCTACAAATCAATATTAAGTAAAATCACCTCAAGTATCATTAAAATTATGCAAGACATGCCACAGAAAATACAGATATGTATATGAAAGAATGTTTCTCCCTGTATGTTCACTGTCTTCAAATCTGTTGATCTATAGCTAAAGGACAAGGACAATATATCAATATATACACACAAAAGTGATTTGTTAAATTTAGGGAGGGGGTAAACCCCATGGCATCATATCACGTAATAAATGCAAATTTTGCCAAAGGGAGACAATACTATCATCTAGTTATTTTTACCATGTTATGTAAAAATCAGTGACTTGATAAAATACTGGTATGTTTTGTTCGGTGGAATTTGCTGCTCCGTGGAGTTGCTGTTTTTTTTAGTTAAATTTGGGGTTGGGTTAAAGTCCATTGCTTTTCTAAAAACGAATAAATTTTTTATGAGAGCAAATTTTAATTTGAAAAGAAATCAGGAAAAGTTCAATCATATTTTGTGTGAGACAAGGGGGTCAATCTGAAAATTAAGTACTGTAAAACGGGTAATTTTGACACCGGGAAATTTTAGCGATTTTTCAATTTTAGGGGGTTTTAGCGCAGGAAATTTTAGCGAAATGAAGATTAATCTTTAAAAAACCAAATTAGCGAAATGCATTAGAAATTTTATCATTTATGGCAGAAGAATGAATAACGGACATGACAGAGGAATTATCAAAATGTAAGACTTCTAACGCACATGGTATTGGTCCAAACTACTGTAATCTCATCTGACTAATCACAAAATCACGGTAGCATTTAAAATCGTTGATTTTTCGGTCGAGCACTGAACAAAAAGCTCCTTAAATACTAGATAGTATTCATGTAGTTTCCCGGGAATTTGTAAATTTTAGCACCCGGTTTATTTATTTTAACCCCGGTTTATTTTAGCGAAACTATAGCGATCGCTAACAATCGCTAACAATTACCCCTCGCTAACAATACCCGTTTTACAGTATTCAATTTAGTTTGTGGGTGTACATTTGATATATTGACCTGATTCCTTTTAGGAATGAGAAAATTGTCTAGATATAACCTTCCCCAAACATTTATAAGTATACAAAAATATCCTAGCTGCTAGTACCTAAATATCACATTGGTTAACTCTTTTTCTTGGCCTTTCCATAAATTGAATCTAGCCCAAGGCCTATAAAGACCAGCAAAGTTCCTACCCACTGTCGGCCTAACATTGGATTCCCAAACAGAAACACAGAACCGAGAATTGTGAAGAATTTCCTGGTTGTTGTGACGATAGAGCAAGTCAATGGACCGAATGATGTCACTGTGATGAAAATGAAGTTCTGGAAATAAAAAATTATTTTCAATATACATAAGTATGTTCAATTCTTATGTTTTAATATGGTAGTAGTATATGTAGCAAACTTGTGTAAATTATACAATGCAAGTAATTTCATGAAGATCAGATAACAAAACATGCACAAAATACACAAGTGCATCTTTAAGATGATGATTATTTCTTTTGAAAAATCTGGAAATCCAGTGGTGTTGAGTTATTAAATGAAATCAACTTCTTTTATTCAATTTGAATTTTAGACATATCAGATGATCCTCTTGGCTTGTCAAGCTTTTCTTATAAGAATTTGCTGCATACGTATGAAGAATAAATATCAAACCAGAAAAAAAACATATTTTGAAAAATTAAATGAATATTGAACCATGGAATATATACATATAATTGCAGTGGGCTACTAAAGCTAATTCAGTGAATCTGCACCAGATTTAATTTGCACTGAATAATACAACACATCATTGGTAAATAAATAAATACAGCTGATTCTGTCTGTACAAGAGCTATTTGCTATTTCAATACCTTTGTTTTAATTCCAACATATGAATTGATATCAAACTACCACCACCTCCTAGCAACTGTGTTAATCATTTGTTCGTTGTTGCAAATGCAACATTTAACAACAAATATTGGTGGCTATAACAGGGATGTGTCACCATACTAAGAATTAATGATGAAGACTTTACTCACCTGACCGAGTGCACTGGCCACACTGAAGCTGACCATGTTGATGAGGACTGTGGGGTGTCTCTGCACAAACCCTAGGAATGCTATACCCTCACCAGTGAGCACAAGACCTGAAAGCAGCATATGAATATACTATTATACAGTAAAACCTGTCTTAGTGAACACCTCTCTCTAGTGAACACCTGTCTCTAGTGGACATCCTCCCTACACACATACTCTACTGGCGTCTGTATAAATTACCCTCTCTGTGGTTATACCTACCAACACTGAACTTTTTCTTTTGGGCAAAAAATGTTCAATTACACAGGTTTCATATTTTACTATTTAGGGTACACTTTATACTATTCACTTAACAACTATTCACAACTAAGCTGCATGCACATCTGCATTTTAAAAAGAAAATTCTTGGACAACTTAATAATAAAACAGAAATTGAGTTAAACGAATAAAGACTGAATGTTTGTTATTGAAAGTTAATTTCAATAAGATAAGATTTCAAATGGACATGAGGTTCAATTCAAAAAAATTTGACAAGACTACAAAATAAGCTTTGTGTGAAAGATGTGATACGAAGGTTAGGAAATGACATACTTGTGCCTAGCCATAGTATGGACCAGGTGTTCATATTGAGCATCATGTGGTGGGCCTTGGTCATATGCTCAGTCCTCATGCGGTCTTGAGAGGCCCCTGTTAGACCATCTAAGGTGAGAGATATAATCTGAAATAAGAGATATAGTTATGTCAGTTTGTGGGTCTTGAGAGGCCCCAGTTAGACTATATAAGGTGAGAGACACAATCTACAATGAGAGATACTGTACCCTCACCATTTTTCCCCCACACTATGTGATGAGAGGGCGGGCATAAATTTGAGGCCGTTCAACAAATGTGCATGAAAATACAATTGAAAGTGGAGTCAACTTACCAATAAAAGTTCTCCAAAGCCAAACAGAGTATCTGAAGAAGCAGCTGTAGATTTTTTATCTTTATACATAAATAGGGCCACCCCACTAACAATGAGGAAGACACAGAGGTATTTGGCCAATGGATAGCGCTTTCTTGCTAATAGGACTCCAAGTATCATCACAGGGATGGGCTTTATAGACTTCCCCAGCACCTACAGAAATAAACATCAATATAACTGCATCTTTAATGACCTGTTAGAAACATACACAGTGATTTACAAGGAAATCTTCTAAAATTCAATTGCAACATTATAATATCAGAGAATAGAAAAATAGAAATGATGCACTGCAGACTCATGCTGTCATGTATTTGCAGAAATGGAATATTTTTCCATCTGATTTTTGACATCATGGAAAAACTATAAATCTGATGATGCAGACTAACCTGAGTAGGGTATGGGACATGCTGTAGGGAGTGATTACTGGCCAACATGGCACCAAGATAGGTGAGAGAACAACTGATATAGAACCATATTGGAGTCTTATCTTCACCTGGTTTGGTTACAGCTATAGCTGCAACAAAACAATAAATAAATTACGTATATATATACGAGGGGTGATCAGGAATTTCTGGACCGTTGGCTCTATTTTTGCCATTTTTTATCCTTTCTTAGTGATTTTTTCACACAATTTAACCCAAATATAGAAGACCCTGTATATTGTACTTATGTTATTGTCCAGAACAATCAAATCAAATCTTTGTCACTACAGGTATGTCAAAGTATAAGAGAATAAACAAGTACAGTGTATGTAGGCATTCAAGCTAGCCTTTCACTTGAAAAGGGAACGAAAAATTAAACTTACTTGCTCTGGCAAATATAGCGTTGATGATACATTGAACAAACACTAATGCTAGTGTGTATGTGAACTTTTCTTGTGTTTCTCCCTCTCCATATTTCCCCTTTGTACTGCAAATACAAAATTATTTTTATGAAAAAAATTAAAAAAAACTACATGATGAAACTACATGTACAATTAAAGCAAGGAAGATTACAGCCCGGTTATATGGTTTTCTTGTATATCTTGTTTTATTCATATAATAGATTGTGATTCTAATCTTCAAATAATTTTTTCTTTTATGCATAACAGTTACAGTGTTCTCATATGATGGATGATTCAATTTCATGTTGCTCTCAGTACAATCACTGAAATGTATAGTAACATTTTAAGGATATTATTAAACCATTCAGATATTATCAAAATTATTTAATAAAGAAAACTTAGTTCAGTTGCCATGTTCCTTCTCTGGTATATTCCTCATTATACAGATTGTTCAATAAGTAAAGCTAATTTTGCTCTAAAACTTGTTTATCACTGCCCATCATGCATTCGCATTCTTACAAGCATATGACATTTTCTAACTACAATATCCTGAAAAAATGTTATTGGAAAATAGTGGAAAAGTGGTTGCAATAGCAACCCGGAAATGGGTTTCGCAAAGCAATGGGTAAAATAGTGCCATTGGATACTTGGCTCATATTGGATGGTATTTTCAATGTAATGAAAGTGACAGCTGTTTTGAAAAGCAAGAATTCTTGAAATGTGTAGTTAATTTAGCTTCTGGTGGACTAATTGCATTGATTATTTTTTGTAAACAGAATTTCAAAAGAAAAATCATAATACAATTTCCTAAAAATAAGATCTTATTTAATATATGCTTCCATCTTAATTTTTGAGGGTATATAAGCAATGAAAAATTGTATATTCAAAACAATCCACATGTATATTTGGTTATTAAAGGGGTCAATAATGGCTTAATTCCATGTTATTTAGACTGAGATTTCATAATTTTAGGTACAAAATAAAACTGTTTTGCGTTAGTATAGTATTTTCACAAGACATCGTTTCATAAGTCATTTTTTCATGCTAAAAAAGTCTATAATTACTTGAATCATTTTGAAACTCATTTATTGAAGTTGTGTTATAGGTTTCAAAATATTAAAGTTAAATTGTTTTTTAATTGAATACAAACTATTTTGAGCATTATTATAAAACTTTAATTCTGGTTCTGTGAAGAATTCAAGATCAGTACATCTACAATTAATTCTCTTGCACAGTTCAATATTTGATTGACAGCTCTATTTTTGCATCTTCCATATTTGGGAGTGAAATTGATGGCCTGTATTAAAACTTCAAGGTCAGGCTGATCTGGTCACCCTCTAAGACAATTTAAAATCAGAATATTGCCTGAAATATTGATCAGTTCTTTCTTTATTTTCTCAGTTATGACATATTTATAGAAAAATTGACCTTTCAAATCATTATTAGTTTTTTAATATCAGTTAATTTGAGAGGTTTTAATCACAATCTTTTTTATTTGAAAGGAATTTTTTACAGTATTTTATAGGACTATTTTGTCAAAGAATTTCTGATGGAAATCCCAGTTTCATGATTGTGATGTTACAAATGATTAATGTTTCTTAGTACACTCTAACAGCCTGTAGCCAGGAGGGGGATTCGACCCTACCCCCCCCCACACACAAAAAAATCTTTCAAAAACATATGTGATTTTGGGCCAATTTGTCAAATTTGAACCCCACCTAGAATTTATTAAAAATTGACCACCCCTTAGAAAAGTTAGCTACAAGACTGGTTTAAACATCCATATGTTAAACACATTCAATTTTAAGAAATATTGATGTTTAGAATATTAAGTAAAACATTAGGACTACATATATAGAGGTTATTTAATGGGAGGGATGGAATATGAATTTTATTTCAAGGGAACATATGATATTGACCAAGGAAAATATGATATTGACCGAGGGCGACAGCCCGAATGTTAATATGATATTTTCCTAGGCCAATATCATATTTTCTCGAAAATTCATATTCTATCATGACCATCAATAACTTATTTATTCCATAATATTTTTCTGAAATTTGTTTTGTTTTGTCATCACCCAATGATGGTGGCATTAAATAATATGGATCATAATATACCGTAATAACACAATATTAAGTCTCATGACATTTTCTGATAGTTCTGATACATGATTTTGGATGATACGGGATCCAATACGGGATCTGATACGGGATTTTGGCTGACATGGGATCTGATACAGGATTTTTCCTGTTATTTTCCCGAGGAAAACATGTTATTATGGAATAAATATGATTATACTATAAACACCCTATCAAAATAACTCACATCATCTCCTGTATTATCCCATAGTAAAAGTAGCATACCAGAATCCCAGATGCACAAATGAACAACTTCAATTTACTTTTACTCTCATAATTTTCTCTTTCCAGGGCTTCTTTACTACCAGATACATTAACATCCACTGATACTTGGCCCATCTTTTCTTGATCTTTCAAATTGTTAGTTTCCACAGTCTCTTTATCAGAGAAAATGACAGAATCCTTGGTGTTTTTTAATAGCTCCTCATCAGCCATGATTATCCATTTCAGTGTGTAATAAAATCATTTAGTAACTAAGCATATGTAGAGTTATTTCATCAACCTACTACATACATCTGCACCATATGCTGAAATTCTGATGCATGTAAATTACTCTATTATTGATTAATGATTAGACACAAGATTTTCTATAATCCTCAAGTTTTAAATATATTTGTTTTGACATTCAGCCTCTAT